ACGTAAACAAGCAAAAGCACTTTACTCGAAAATTTTATCTTTAACGACCTGACGAGCGTCATTCGGATACGTGTATCGCGTAAGGATCTTGTAGCTAGTTATGTATACGTCGTTGGAAAAGGGGAGGAAAAAATGTCACAGAAGAAAAAAAAAGGATCTTGAAACTTTTGGCGAAATAAAATAAAATGTCAGAGCGATGCCAAGCAATACCAACTGGCAGGAACAATGAGAGGACATTTCATTCGAGACTGAGCTTTCCTTTATTATCGGAGAATTTAATATCCCACTAAAGCTCGTTGCTGGTGCTGTTATACAATAAGTACCTATAAAGCTCCGTCCTTGGTGCGATGGTCTCTCCATTTGACGTAGTGCCATTTCTTAATGTGTGCCGAATAGACACGAGAACAATGCGTCGGCCGATCGTATCCATGGATTCCTAGGACAAACGACAGTGGCTAGATTAATTCATCGTACGACGCGAATGGCACTTCTCATGAAACTCCAAAGATTTCCATAGGTGATAAAAAAAATTCGAAAAGTTTCTTTTGGCCGATTTCATGTCCGCGCGACGTAAAGATTCAATTAGAAGGCAGTAGAAAAGCTAACGGACCTTCATGATAAAACATTTCCGGAACCACTTCGCGACAGTTGCGAGAGGGCCGTTTGATACCAGATGCTACCGAGAATATTGGATAAAAGTTTCACTCGACTCGCGGGGAAATAATTTCACACTGGGTAGGGATGGCGGCCGGCCGTGTCCCACCGAAAACAAACTTTCTTCTTTTAGCCGGATTCTCGACTTGTCCTGTTCCTCTGTAGACAAAATGGACGCGCGACGCCACCTGACACTTTGCATATATGGAAAAGTATTCCTTCCGAGTTGCTCCCACAACTTTTCTCGCCTGACCAGGTCCAACCGGAAGAAACTGCCTTCCGGAACTATCTACCTTCCACACGTTGCCACCTTACACTTCTCTGTTACATACAAGACTGACCGATCCCGGCCAAGCAGTCCTTCGGCAGTGTATAAAGATTCTCAAAATTCTTTCTTGAGCTTATTCTACTGTACACGTATTTACTGTACCGAGTATCGAGATACTCTTTGAAGTCGCGCATATTAATTATATCTGATTCAGTTCCGATTATTCCTCTGTGGAATCTTCGATACAGACCTAACCTCTGACATATTAAACCATACAGTCTCATACAGCCATTATGGCTCTGCAGTATGTCTACAGTGGATACGCCATCAGCTACGACTAATACCCACAGGCAGCGTGTACCATTAGTATATATGTATTAGCGTCCGTACAGCATTAGTATCCGTATTGGGAGGAACGTTCATGTCCCGTGGCACTTTGACTGCGCCATGTCTCCCTCGCGCCAGCAAACTTCGGCCTTCGATACTCGCGACTAATCGAATCTCCGGGACACGAGTTACTTGCCAGTCTAACTTCCGAACTCCATTCGCTACAATCGTCTCCTAGTTGATAAGGCCTTTGGGAGAGTGTTGCCGGGTTGTTCTACGATCTGCGACAGTTCACCGATGCATTCACTTTGGAAGACCTTTGTTCCGAGACACGTGGATCTAGACAGATCGAAGATGCTTGTAATAAAGATCATAAGACTTGTTAGGTAAGAGCGCTGTGATTTATAAGGTTATAAATACCTGGAGAAAAAAAAAACTCCTCTGGAGGCCGTATAAGAGATCCCAGGGTCAATGCCCGCTTAAGTGTCAAAGTTCACGAAAGTCTCCGGCTGGCGTATCAGCAGGGCACAAGGTGGTCGCGCTGCGCATCAAGTTTTATTGCAAGGTCGTAGCGCAGAGTCAAGTCCGAGAAAAGAATAATTTGCGGGGTATCGCGCGATAAGAGCCAGCACCACGTAAATAGGTGGACGTGCATTTCCGGACTGGTGAGGGTAACATTAATTAAGTCGCGATAAAGAGTAGCCGCAGGGGAGTACACACCGATCTACATACCCGTGGCAAGCGACGTTCCAACAAAGAATTTAATTTCGTCCTCTTGATAAAAGAAAGCGTCTCTGTTTTATATACCTTAAGAGGTGGCTGAAGAACGTCCGAGATATATTATTCTTAAATGCCGTGAATTTATCTAAGCGGCCAACACCCTCCTATCTGGTCAACTAATCCATTCTAGATTTTAAAGAACTACACTCTCTCCCCGTTAACAAAAGCGAACAATCGGAGCAATGCTTTGTGCCGTATTTACATGGATGTAATAAAAGAAGTGCAGGAAGGGCTCACAGAATGTTTGTCAGTTCGATCGCATTCCGTCTGGACTGTTCGCATGATGGGAGCGCAGCATGCCAGGGATAAGGAGCCGAGGATAATATACATGCATGAGAAACGCGTGTCACACTGGTATTAGAGGTTTAGAATGTCTGGCAATATCTCCTCTGCGATATTTCAATAACACGAAATAGAATATCGTCCCTGGTATTGCTCGATATTGAATAGGCATCATTTTTCCGCTGCACGGGGCATTAAATCTGCATCAGACAAAACGAACCGTCAGTTCCTGCCGTCTTCGGCGGACATATACGTACCCGAAGGAATGCCCGGCGAGCTGGAAGGACGCCGGAGAGCTACCTTGGAAGAATTATCTGCCGACGACATTGACGTACTTTGCCTCTTTCTCAATGTTTTCCTTTTTTTTATCTCCCCTTATCCTCCTTTCATCCTCGTCCTCCTTGACTGCAACTAAATGCGCGTAGACGCCTCTACTCCTTGTCGATACCAAAAAACACTCTTGCACGTGGGACGACGAGGACCTGGAAGGAAACAAAACTCTTAGTAAAGGATTTTACTCTCGGACAGGTCGACACCCTGGCAATTCACTCGTCGCGAATACCACCTTTCATTCTGTTATTCCCTTTGAGGTCCTCTGTGTGAAGTAATTCCTGGCCGATCGAGGACTCTCGCTCTTAGTAAAGATGGTACGGAGGTAGGTGTGCGATCCTTCGCGGGTGAAATTTCGATTGCAAAATTGCCGTTGGGGCTTGATTGAATTGAATCCACGATAAGGCAATTAGTGGTGGGAAAGGAGGTACCCTGAGACTGCCAGCGACTGGGAGCTAGACGGCTATGCAGACGGAGTTCCTTGGTGCAAGGAGATGAGAACGAAGATGGGAATGAGGCCCACGGGGTTGGTGCTCCTTAGAAGATAGCGGAGTGCAAACTCCTTTGTGTATCTGGAATAAGAAGCGCGCGCCATTAGAATGCAGCGTGCCGGTCTGCAATCAGACCGGAACAGACCCTCTAACTAGCTATGGATCCATAGACAGCGAAAGATTTGAACCTACAGCGTAAACAAGGAGAAAATATACTGTAAGTCTTGTGCTCTATATTCAAGAAGATACAGAGAAGGAATCAGAGATCGTAGAATCTTAAGGATTTGTCATACCTAATGAAATCCCAGCTGTGACGCAAAGTAGCTGGATGCAAGTAGTACGATTAAAATGCAAACATCCCCAGTTTCTGGATTGCTTCGATTCCTGGAAATAAATTATAAAAGCTCTGTGAAATATGTAGGTATATAAAGTCGGCCGTGTCGGCCTGGGAAGTACCTAACCTAGTTTTTAAGGATCAAGTGGAATTCCGTGTGCCGGCCATTTTTCGATGCTGTTTACCGTCCCAACTTCGCCGAAGTTTTCCAAACCTCTCTCTCTCTCTCTCTCTCTCTCTCTCTCTCTCTCTCTCTCTTTGCTTCCTACTCTTCAGTCATCCATCTCCCTGTATCCTCAAGGAACTTTAATCTTGAGCACCATCACGAATGCGATACAACAGAACAAAGATAGCAATCGCTTGTAGCCTTCGCTATTTCCTGTATATATCCGGAATGCCGGGCACGTGGCTTTGTTACGAGATAATACTGTGCTTCGAAATTTATATCTGAACTACGAGTTGCGAGCTTGAAATTCGAGGGCTCTGATTAACGGATCTATATCCCACCTCTTAAGATTAAATCCAATCGAGCTTAATTTCTTCGGTGATGAAAGAAAATCTATGGACCATGTTATATGCGCTTCAAATGCACCATGCATTAGGGGTAGCTAATTGAAGTCAAAGGAATATTTTCATAAGTGGAAAAACTACCCATTATCTTATGAAATAGAATAAAAGTAATAAGCTATGAAAATACAGTATGTGCAATAAAAAGCTTACGTTATCATAACCACGTTAAAGAGGGATGCGTGAACTGAGATTTTATTAAAAATTGTCTCTGTCCCTTTTAACCTCTTTAAATACTTTTCCGAAATGGATAATGCGAGAGAACCTGCAATCTGTCTTGCTGGCTAGTACAAAGGTCAAAAGCCAAATATCCGATTATCCCACGGTGATTTGGATGCTGTTTGATGTAAGAAAGAAATGGAAAAACCAAAGAAAGACAAACCACACAGAAGCTTGTTCATACGAAACACTAGGATTCTGGCACGGTGAGGGTCGCCGTGGTGGCGGATGAGGAAAAAACCGGAACTGGGAAAATGGCAGAACAGAAGACTCGATTACACGTCACGAACAGTCCAAAGCCTATTTGGTCGCAATCGGGTTTTCATTATCAAAAGTTCCGGTAGCTCTATTCCGAATTGTACATTAAGTGCCCCTCGTATCGGCCCCTTCTTTTAACTGTATATGTATACACGATGCTGATTCTGATGCGACAATCTACTTTGTACTTCGATAAAGGTTACAGTCGCTGACCTTTCCTTAGATCAATGATTTTAATAATACATTGAGTAATATCTTCAATAATACAATTATATCATTAATCGATACCATATTTATATCCTCTTTCGTTCTTGCGGTGCTGACGCTTCACTCTTGATTTTAAAATCACGATGTAAAACGATGTATGTACACGTAGGAGTTATTTGCATCTTACTGTAGGACAAAACTAGACGTCCCATCTAGCGTAATATGGTGGAACTTTTTTGAAGGAGATAATTATAACCCCAGATGTCGCTAGCAGTAATTTAATGCCCAAGCACTTGCCCAAGTCGCAAATACATTTGGCGTGTTGCTTTTACAAACGCTTTTACTTTGTGTGAACAGCTGATTGGTAGTTTTTATTATAGTTGCGAATAGAAATTAGTACGTCTTTCGTGTCATGGTATGAATCGTCGATTGTGGTGTCGTGGATTTTATTATAGAACGGTCTAATGGATAATTTGACTAAATTCTTTGTGACTTGTGCTTAAATAATATTTCATAACAAAGAGTGGGTGTTGAACACCTTGAGTCTTATAAAATAATGTCTACAAACAATCTTGTCTTTAAACAGCCTATTAAGCATTTGGAAATTCCCATTAGTAAATTTAATGACATTGCCATTCCTCATCATCTTGATTTACTGCGAAAACACAAAAATAATATTAAAAAGGTATTTACTTAGAAGAGATGGTCATTTATAGAGCGATAACTTGATACGTTTAGATTCATTATTTTTGTTTTATTGAAGTTTCAAGAAGCACGTCAATGGGGCTCTGTTTATAAAGAACAAGTGAATGCCACTAGGTTAGTTAAGCAGTTGAAGCAATTGCTCTATGAAATGGATATGCTTAGGTCTCAAGTAATTGACAGCGATATTGATACTTTTGATCAACTTACTGCGTTCTCCAGAAATAGTACCATCATCGCAATCCAGGAATACTTTGGTAATTACTGTTTCATAAATTTTAACAGATATATCAATATTCCAAGCCATATATATATTTATATAATATAAAAATTCCTACAGATCTTGAATTTGATTTTCCTCCTGCAAGGCCTGCCTCACCCAAAAATGAAGATCAGACCACAGAGAGTCCATTTCAAGAGGGTGATCTCCAGTTGCATGCAGAACAAGAAGAGCTCGAAAGACAGCAAGCCTGCCTGCATTCCTGGAATATTCTACAAAACGATATGCATCAGCTTCACCAGCTTTTTATAGATTTTAATAAAATTGTAAAAGTAAGTCTTCCAGGAAATGATAGTTCATTAAGATTCTTCTGTAGCATTACTGTTAATATAAACCTCTTTTAATGAATCTAATTGAAGTCTCCATTTAGGAACAAAAAGAACATGTTAATGAAATTGAAAACAATGTAGAGGTTGCTGAGGTTAATGTAGAAAAAGGAACGAAATTCCTTGAGAAAGCAGCAAAATACAAAGTTGCGGCTTATCCCTTAGCAGGAGCACTAATTGGGACTTGTGTTGGTGGACCTATTGGTTTGATAGCTGGAATAAAATTAGGAGGGCTGACTGCTCTTGGCTGTGGTGTTTTGGGTGAGTTCACAAAGAGGTAATGGTAGATTTGAGAATATAGCTACTATGTCATTAATAATTTGCAGGATTTACTGGTGGTACTTTTCTAAAGAAAAAACACAATGCAGCTCATTCTGTAGAGAACAAAATAGAGATATCAGAAACTAAAGAAACAGACGTGAGGGCATCCGTTTCAATACCTGACAACTTAAAAGATATCAAAAAGGATTTATGACCTTTAATGATAACTGACGTGAACTCAACGACACATGTGTGCAGTATACTGTAATTACTTTTGTCATAGGACACTGGAAGTTGTAACTTCGACGAAAAATATCCACTTCTATAAAGCATTACGATCTGATATATCAATGTTGGCTTATGTTGTGGATTATTTTAACTTATTAAATCACTGTGATCTTACGTTATTCTCGCTTCCCAAAGTCATATATATTTTACTACAAATAAGAGAGCTTTCCTAACTTTTATAATAACTAAAAAGTTAAAGGAATTGCTTACATGGAAATATGTCGAAATTTTCACGAATAAAAATTCTTTAATAATTACTAAACTAATGAAATTTTATCTGACTTTCAATAATTATTATTCGCTTTTTTGGTTTCTGTCACATTCAAATTGTTTCATGTTATATCGACCATAGATCATTGCAAGAAAATCACTGCTATACCTACAGAACGGAATTGAGTAAGGTTATGCACAACCCTACGGTTTTAGGCGATACCAAAAACATGGCGCTGAATCGCAGCGCCAAGTCCGGAAGTAGAATTTTGTGATCATCGCCTCCCTCGTATATTATATAATCGTATCGTATCGCTCGACTAACGTAACTTATCAACTGTCGGTAATATCACCGCATTCTATACACTCAATCATTTGCATCCTAGGTGGCACTAGTATACTGTACAATTTCTAACAATTTACATATTTATAAAACTAACGGACAAGATGCGGCATGTTTTAACACAAGTTAGTCTACTTAATGAATGCCAAGTGTACAATTAATGTACTGAATATCAAATCACCATTACTTAACATTATAAACTATCGATTATTATAAAAGATTCGACGATATGCAATTTCGATAAATCACATACACGATACCATCGCTTTACAATTACCATCGGTCATGGACGCACTTAGCAGGAACAACGATTGACATTCTCCCTAGCTAATCCACCACATAAATTCAACACGTTTCTTTTATTCCATCTGAAAACACCCACGCATAATTGTACAATTAATAGTATACGCAACCGCACCTTTCCACATAGCACATATCACAATAATATATCCGTACGCAGTGACCGATTTATCTACCATTGACGTTACTTCATGTTAGACTGGAATTTCGAGCCACAAGTCGATATTTTTGACCACATTCCTTCAGAATGTAATTCAAATCCTGTTATACATGCACAAAAGTATTTAAAATCACGTGACCTACAAGAATGTCACCAGGCTCAATTCGTGAGATCATTGCACATAACTGCCTCTGATAAATGAAAACAGAAATCCTTTTTGATTAATTTCAATAATAAACAATTCTCAAACGTTCGTCTCTATAATGATCCAATTTAAGAGCCTCCATTATTATACGTTATTTAGTCTTCATCCTTTTTTCTAAGACATCCAATTGTGCAGGGGCGGTAAATCATTGTCTAAAAAAAAATACCGAAATTTATCTCAATATGTATATGTATATATATTTAAATTTACATATACACGAACATGTAACTCGACCGTTCTCCTTATACTTGGTGCCGAGCATCCAGCAACCACGTATCGGTCTTTCGCCACGCGTTTAACGTGTCACGGCTATGTTTGATAACAAACTCTACATAAGAATATGCACGACTCTGAAACAATAGCATAAAATGACGTGGAGAGACGCATGAACTGCCATAGTTGCTACTACCACAATGAACATATACGTACATATATTTAAATAGCTTAAACCGTTTTACACAGTAATCTTTTATGGTTATACGTCAAATAACCAAAGACGTTACTACCAACTCTGTTATCAGGATCGTCCAGTGGTTATAAAAATTCTATTAATTGCCAATTAACGATTATCATCGATTTTGCAGCATCTGACTGGAAAATTAAAATCAGGCTGGGATCTGTATAATAAAATATACATAGATCACGTGACTCGAATTCTTATAATTTGTTGATTATTACCTTAATCAGAAATTACCTTTTGAGCTTTCCGTTTTTAAAAGTTAGAAACCTTCTCAGTATTATCCGTTTCAATAATCCTTGGTTTGCCTGATGATAATCGGTATGGCTTCCCGGCGCTTCTGGTTTGTAACACGTTCTCCATAATGAATGTATTATATATGCAATTCAAGAACTTTCCTGCGAAAGTGAATGCATTCTCGTAACTCTTGCCTCGCGAGAGTCTTAAGAATGATTGACTGTGGGTCCATTTCTCATCTTACCAATTGATTCATTACGCTCCTCAATATCGTAAAGCTCCGACATGCCTACCTGGAATGTAATAACAGTGGTGAATTAGGTAGATGGAAGAAAATAAATTGAACGAACGAAAATATCGGGGAACTATTACGACAGAAAAGTTTCACATTGGCCAAGTACTTTTCCTGACGTCGCTGTCGTGCTTCGATAGTATCGACAGGCCGAGCTAACGTGAAACTTGGCTTTATGCTCCAATTGCAAATGGCAATTGTAAATTTTAGTCAGGCAGCATGTAGCTTGTATACTGATAGGGACAGAACCAAAATGCAGTTGTAATATATGAAGATATGATCTCAGAGATATTTATAGTAAAGCTGTAGTGCGTGTTAAATAATTGTATCCTGAGTTTCTGAAACAGAAATTATAAAAGGTTAATCAAGAGGAGAAACGTGTATAGGAAGTCATAGAAAATGGCGTATCCTGTAATGCGCGTGCGCAGATGAAAGAGGCTCAGACTTGTTTAATTACTTTTGCAGAAGAGTAGACTTCCTCCCATTAACGATGCTTAATGTTCTTAGATTCTCATTTACCGTTCATGGTTGGCACTTTTGCCTATTTTTGCTTCACACAGAGGCCAGACTTGAGGATTAAAACTATAAACACGAACATATGCTTCATTAGCCAGGGATGTCTAGAATCTATAGCAAGCACCCTTGAACCTTACCTGACAAGAACTGGCGATGTAAGTGGATGCTGTCTGTCAAGATGACGAAGTTGACGTTTGAGGTTATGTCCGTCGAGAGCGTTGAGTCAGATTCCACACGAACAAGACGTCGAGAACTGTTTATCGACGTCGAAGTTTAAATCGTATATTTAAATCGAGTCTGGCAATAAGACACACGAGTCATGAGCATTGTCATCGAAAGTGTCGTCTTTATTGCCATCGTAAGAGTGTCGTTAAATTTATCAAGATCCTCGCGGACTTTTAACCTTTAAAAACTTTAACACTTGCGTATCTTATGTACATATAAATATTCTATGTAGACCTGGTGAAATGGCCAAAAGCAATGATTACCCGCGCTAACAAAATAATTACGACAAGCGACCCAGACGAGGAATTTGCCGCGGATTCCCAAGTAGGCCATGGTTCCCCAGGCCAGGTCGTAGATTATAAGGACGCTACAGAACTTACGTAATGGGACGAGCAGTAAATACCTAACTCGTCTTAATATTCATCGTACACCCTCGAATCTGATACAAGTCTAGATTTAGATCTAACCAACTGATAATCCACTGAAAACAGTATTGTAAACAAAAGTTCACGTATAACCTATCGAATTCTTACGGACGCGCGATCCGACGTGAACTTCGAAATGCAACGACTCCCTACTGCACATGCGCAGTCAGATTCTACACTCTCAGGCGCATGTGCAAACGACCTGTCACATCCGTACGTGTCAAAAAGCATCGGCGCCTTTCTTCTCCATACTTATTCTCCTTTGAAAACGAATTAAACGACTGTCAGGTTGTATCGTGGGATTTGCGAAAGAGCAGTTTTTGTCGATGCTCAATGCGTTCTACTTGATTTCTGTCTGTAGCCGTCTCGCACGCATACAACGCAAGTGGAATTGTGCAAACTTTCAGTGTCCCTACTCATCGCCTTTCCATACTACCACTGTAGGTGTAACTCTTCTTCGAGTACCACGAACTCCTGCACTACTACTCCTGGTATGATTTCTATACATATATGCATGGTAATAACAAGGTGTTATAGGTTATGTCACACGTGTCCAGTGAGTGGACGCGCGTTATGTAGGAGTTATGTCTATTTCGTGAATGGTACTTTCGACTTTACCATTACCAAAGACACAAAGAACGTTATTGATACGTTAACCGTACACTAGAGAGAGAAAGAAAGACTCTTCGAAATCCTGTCATTGATCCTGTTTACAATCGCCTTTTGTATCTACGCAAAGTTTCCTTATGGCGCAATTAACTGTAATCACATATGTGCATATGTATCGCATACGTTGTACCGATCGCGACACGCTAGTCATTTGTAGTCTTGATATGCAGAGACACGCGTCCTCGTCTCTTCGGAGATTGGGTTACTGCATCCTTGATACGAATTCAAATCGACGAACGAAACGCAGCTCGTATGCATAATCGAAGGCACAAAGAGATACAAGGGTGTTAAAGATAGTCGTTAAGTGTAGAATTATCGATATTTACCGTGTGATATATAGGCTTTTTGGTAAACATGGATTCTAACCTCATTAACGTAGCATTTGTTTTAGATCTAACGATTTTCTACCGTAATTTTGTGGAATCGTTGAAAAATATTTAACTAATTGCTTTTTATCATGATTTAATCACGTTCTTTCTTGTGTAACAACAGCAATTTCTAAAGCAAACTTTTTATTACACCTTGATCTGCCTATCGTCTTTTATATCCACGTGTATGTGTATACTTTTATATTCTTCTATATACTCTTATGTACAGCAGGGAAATCATAACGTATGTTCAAGAATGTTTGCCCTTTCGTCGCTGCCTATTCTTTATTATTGTCTTTCTCGTATGGCAGCTTCTTCGCCAATATATCAATTCAATAAATCACAGGGCTAAACTAGTCTGCGCGGGAATTATTTATAGTCGTATCTGTCAGTTCATTACGTGTAAACTCGAGCGCCATTAAATTCCGTAAGAGTCTGTAAACTTTTGTATAACGACGTTAAGCCCCAGGTTGACGGCGCGAAGATCGACGCCGGGCGTACCTCGCCTATATTATATATCATTGGCAATGTGTGACGTCACCGTCATGCGATTACGAATTATCAACCTGTTCGATGTTCTTGAAAGCTTTTGTTTTTCTTCATTTTAAATTAACTTCGGTATGAATCTTACGTGAAGGTATTATCGGACAATATTTTCACTGCCCATAATTGTGTGCATTCTGCTATCGCGGAATTACGGTGACATAATTTCAAGATACATTCGATACACGACAGAACTACGATAGCATGGATGTCAAACTGTAAGAAAACAAAACAGGCTTAAATTTGCAGTAGAGCATTAAATTCAGCCTACGATAAGGCCTTGATTATATTGTACGTCTTTATTTATTTTTGAATTTCTCTTATGGCGATCATATCTCGAAGGAGGTCATTCGCCGCTAGAGGCGCTGCTTGACGTATTTAGAAAATTCTTTTTCCGACGGCAAACACGCCTTACCTCTCGACCGTTAGAATATGACTAATATGGAAACGCCTAAATGCTTTCAGGATCCAGATTAGCAACGGACGTCAAATCGTAAGTTTATCCATCACGAAGATTCGTTAGATGATTGCGAGTGACGTGAGTAAACTTCATGGACCTTGAACCTTCCGTGAGTAGGTAAGCCCTTAAAACTTTTTAATTTATACACAGTCCAAAGTAACAATAAGTAGATTAGTCGGTCAAGTGTACTTGACTGTACTATCCTCATTCGTTATTCATCCTTGAGTAGGAAGCTTTATCAAAAATAGATACCGAAGTGCGTCGACAGTGATGTGGGTATACAATGGGGGGGAAACAATGATGTTTCAGGTACAGCAACGTAAAATTGGATAATTCGCATAGAGAAGGTCAGCTGGATTGGTCTTCTGTGAAAAAAAGATAATAATAATAAATTATAGCGATGAAGATAGATCTATACCTGGTGGTCGTGTGAATAAAGTATCTACAGTGGAAGGACATCTTTTCGGCCAAGGTCGAGGTAAATTAATCACTACGCTTCGGGGTGAGGACGCGATATACATATATGTATGTATAGAACGTAGAGAGTCGAGAACTTTCCATGTCCTCGAAGACCCCAGGAGAGGATCGGCTTTTATCTTCTTCAGCTGACAAGGTATTGCGGTTGCTCGACACCTTCCATTCGCACCTTATGCCTTAACTGCCTATTCTACATTATGGTTCCGTTTTCATTAGCCTGACGACCTTGGCGACGCGATCGTGACCTAATCGTTATTGAATACAGGTTTGGACATAATAGCCCTGGTAATCGATATGTGCGCTTTTTAATTGGCCATTTGCTGTATCTACAGGGTTACACAGCTTGGATGGAACAAACATTGATGACAACTGTCATAAGTTCATTCTGGTTCATTATCAGATGGTCTCGTGTCTTCCAAGTGGATCAGTATTTATATCTATGTAAGTTTGGCTATTTTGGTATTCAATTGATTGGCAAGTTGGCTGGAGGCTGTTGGGAGACATTATGAATATTCGGATCAGCTGGTTTTAGAATTAAGAATGTCAGTACCAAGGTTTCGTTAAATGTCATTTAATTCAAAAATCTTTTTTATCTTTATTTCAGGTTTCTACAGACTCGCTTTTCTTCGGTTGAAGATCTTTTTATGGACTAACAATCTCCTCGTAGTCTTTGGCTGTAAGCGTGCGAGTTAATTGACATAAAATTAACTGCAAACACTGAGGTGGTATGCCACTGGAGTTCGTCGTACGTTCGTAGGTTGGCACTAACTTGACTGAACGTTAATTATTCTGCAAATGGTTCGAACGATGCGCACAGCATTGATAAACTGCAGAACGAAGATTTCCTGTTTGCGGAAAGGATTTCTTTCCCCGGAACAACTACGTGACTCAGTACGTTGGTTGTTACGCTAATTTGCAATCCTCGGTAATGTAAAATTATATTTGTCGTCTCTTGGATTATTTACTTTTTAACATCGTACGTAAACGAGTAGAGCAGTCATAGTTTAAATCTTTCATTGGGTAAACAGGACATTTGTATCTGAACTTTAGGGATTGCAATCTTTTCTGTAATTTTGTTTCCACGTTTCGCCACGTGCGGCGCCTCTGAGGGCAGATAAAATTAAAAAAACATGGCGCCTGCCAATGAGTTCTAGATTATCGCACGAGTCATAAATGTTTATGGTCTCTTCGTGGATTCGTCACGAGCCGGCCAATGGTTATCGGCAGACTTTGTTTACTGAAATTTCTCTTAAAGGTTCTTACGTTTTTATTGTACTTGTCATTTTCTTTTGCTCCGGCATTCTCGTCGTCTTCGATGGTTATTTTGTCACTGTGACCTTTTCTGTTAACGGTTCATGATCTACATCCATGTGATTTACGATCAGGACGTTCTAGTCTGGAATTATCATTGATTTCTCATGTATCCAAGTATTTCTATTTATTATCCTATCTGGTAACTTTTATGTTCTGTGCTTAATATCCTATTGGGATTTTGAGTGTCAGTTGTCAGCCCATATGGTTTACCGGAAAAACCCGTGAAAAATTGTCGCACAAAAATTAGAAACGTTTTACGGACCAATGACGTTGATTGACAATAGTCGGAAAGAATAATTCTTTTTTTTTTCAGTGAAATATTCGAGATTCTCCATTGTGCGCTGTGTACTCGTTTCGACGGAAATGAACGTATTGGCCGTGACGTAGCGGATCACTTCCGTTCATCCTATGGAAATATTCCGAAAAATTTTGCTAATGCCTATTTGTCATTTTGGCCATAAACTTTTTACACACAGAGCACCAAGTTGTTAAGCTTAAGTCTATTTACAAAATTGTATAAATGGCAGTAGATCTTAAGAGCAATTTTCGTATTAGGATAAAAACAAACAATTTTTAAATATCTCTCGTCAAACATAATTGTGTATTCCTGCGAACCTGATCGCTGTAGAGTATAAACAAAAATTTTCCACAACTTGAAAGAGATCTATGGATCCTAACGTTTTTCTAAGTACTTAGCGTCCACTCGATAATCATCCACGAATTAGTGAGAAACATTTCGATCAACACTGAGATAGCGCGAACAGAGATATATTTGTGTATTTACTATGAGATGATTAGGTGCTAATGAGATAATGTCACTTTATCAAATATGTACGAAATCGCGTTGACGATAGATTGTAAAAAGGAGGGAAAAAAAATGTTTTTTTCTTCTATACCTTCTAGCGATGATTTTGATCGTATGAGATGTCACGAGGGCAGAAATACGATCGAGCGAAAAGTCATTATTCTCGGGCTGGCATAGATAAGAGATTTACCGAAGGTACCAGGAATGTCAGCGAGCAGAGCAAATTTATGAAAAACATTGTTGACAGGCGTTTTTAAGAATTTCGTTGTTAATATCAGTGAATTATGATCAGAATATTAATTCAAACGATGAAATTCTCTTGCGCGTACACATTTCTTGTAGCTATTGGAATTTAATGGAAAATTTTGGAAAAAATAAGAAACATTGCAAATTACTACCATAAGTCATACGTTACTTAGGACTGGTGGATGGGGAAAAAAGTAGCTCATTAAAACACTTGCAAATAACGTTGAAACTGGTGGGAAAAAAAAAATTATGATCGTCGACATTGAACCAAATACTTATATGAATGCAATACGGCAAGGCGCCCTCGTTCCCTCGATTCCGTTTCTTGAAGAAATTACGTAATCAGTCAATTTACCACGGAGGCGTCAAAAACAAGTGATTATAAAAAAAAAAAGCGAAAAAAATATGTCTAACAACGAACTACTTAATAAATTGTAGTGATAACGATCGCGTTACTATTAGATGCGTCTGCATGTATTTAATTATATGAGTGTATGATACAAAATCAATTATTCCCGTAAAGCGATTGAGAAAAATATTCAGATTTCATGATATTTTTTAGGAAATTTTGAATACTACGCGGCGAACGTGTTTTTTGATTTATCGAAATTCTGATTTTCCAAGAGAGAAGTCGATAGCGGATAACCATAAAAAAAAAACATACACAAGCTGTAAACTGCCAGTCGTAAAGAACCATAGACCGTATAAGGATAAGGCCTGTTTGCATGAAAAGATCCATCGGCAAATATTCATCCCGGATTTAGTATAATTTTCTCATAAGCTTTGTTAATTCAATCTCGATGAGAATTCGATCATGTTAATAATTTTTTTATTCCCTCCAGCTTCCTCATAGAAACAATCAATTGGTTATGCACCTTCGACAGATTCATAATTTATCCAACTACCTGAAGAAGACATAATTATATTGCTGTCGTAATTTACATTTTAAGCTGATACCGAGCTCTGTCGCTCAACTCGTAAACTTTACTGTGAATCCTTCTTGATTCAGCAGTGATAATAGACTGAAAATCGTAATTTCACATCTTTATAAACATAATGGGATAATGTAATTAACCAGTGACACTCATACCTTTTGTTTGCAGAGACGGAATTATTCAGCATTAAAAAAATTCATAGAAACCTCAAGTATTGGCTGGATGCTCAATTACTGGTAAGTTTATTGAATTTTTTTTTTTTTTTTTTTTTGGAAAATCAATAATCAAATTTCACTCATTGTTTCAGGTGACGCCAGCGTGTCTCTTTTTCGATGAGTGAAATATCTGTTGTCGACAAAGACATGAAGAAGTGACGAGTACATCGTGCAAGATAATTAAGACGTAATTAATTCGTACGAGACATCAGACTTACATCATTCAATTGAAAAGATCACGTAGAGTACGGGGAATCCTTACTAGATCGTTCCAGTTTGATCTGGTTGATCCAATATATTTTCGTCGTGGTTTCACACCGTCACGAGTTATTAATCCAATCTTACCACTTTCGATCATTAAAAGTCAGAGCTAAAAAGTGGAAAAACAAATGGATAATATTCCATGAAACAAGAAAATCCGAAGGTACGTTCTTCCACCAATCCAGGCAATACCGATGGTATGTTTTTTTTTTCTTCCTAACGCATCCTTTATGACTGTCTGAGAGCGTTGTTGAGCATTCAAAAAAAAAAATTCCATTTTTCAATATATTTCTGTGCAAGACCTTCGCCGTCTCTGATACGTGTAATTAAAGCGTAGCGTTAAAAGTAAAGGCTCCATTCGTCGAGTCAATAAAATATTATTTGATAACGATAAGCATTTTGCAAACAGAAGCTTTGGTGGAATTAATTATTTCATTATGAATTTCTCAACGCGCTCAGGACTAACCGTGTTAACATCATCCCCGTAAACTACGTCATACGTCGACGTGGTCTTCGCGAATGAATGTTTGTCAGCTGTCAGCGATATCGGGGCACAAGATGGCTGCACTGTCACTCTCTGACAATATGATTTCTTCATTTCAGTTGAGTCCACAAGCATACCTGAAACATACGAGGCCTTGTGAACCTATTACGAGAATATACAAGAGTAATTACGTAATCTCGTGATTCTTCAGCGAAGCATCTAGAAACCGTATGTGTGACGTTTTACAATCGTAATGGGATACCGCTTCTTTGGGCCGCCATCCCGAAGAACTTCGAACAACTCACGTGGAAGATAGGGACGCCAATTGGTATTTCTTACTCGTTAAAATACTCAGAACGTTCTGGGTCTTCGAGTAGCATATCGGCTAAAAAGGCTTTTATCTAGTCACGAGCTCATTGTCTCACCGATTTCCTTTTCGTGTCGCCAAATGACAAGAACCTTCGAAACAATGGACTCGTGCTTGCTACCTGGAAGGAGAATAAAGGATAGGTGAAAAAAAAAAATCTTTCCAGAAAAGAGGGATAAATAAAGAGAAGAAAGAATACCGTAAGGAAAGGTACAGCAACAGTCATCGCCGGTGTGCTTTGAGAAACAATGGCGGCTGCCGGTCAATTATATTAATTAACATTGAAGGTTGTCACCTAATAAGTGCAACGATAGGCGGAATACACTTCTAAATATCCATTCAAATTATCTTCATTCGTATCCAATTGTGCGCCGCCATATTAATCACTTCCTGTACAGGACTATAGTGTATACAAATATAAAGGCTAAATATACATTTTCATGAAGCGTCGATAAATGGAGTTTCATATATGAAGATCAAGAGGATCATCAATAAATGAGTAACAAAGTCAAAAGAATATATTATACCAAAATACTTTATTGAATATTGCCCGATAGTCAAGGGTGTGTGTGTGTGTGTACAGAATGGAGACCTTTAAAGTGAGACCGGTTTCAAAATGGCCGCCGGCATTGATACTCTCCCGTACAGGAAATCTCCACGCGCGGCGTCGCCGATGCAAATACCAAGGGTACCTCTTGTGGATAAAACGGAAGGATCCGATCGGTATCTGTGGAACTTTCGCAGGAATTAGCAATTTCCGAGGTCCCCGTGAAGCAGCTGGAAGGTCTTGCGTTTGCCTTGCGATTGGCTAGACTCGTCGATTTTCCAGTAAACACAGCGTGAACTCGGAAAGTCTTGGCTTCCTTATCATTGATAAGGTATTGTAGACGTGGTACCGTTAGACTATTGCACTTGGGAGAGGTGTATGCTTACGTGTATGTAAATGTCGAATTTTTAATTTCAGGGCGAATATCCAGATAGGCCACGATTCTACGACTGGTTTGGCCGATGACTTTTGCTACGACCGCGAGATGGCGCGTGAAAACAACATGACATAATGGCATGTCATTCTGAAATTATGATGGTGACGACTGAGGAGAGGATACTCTGTACCAATCACGAGTATCAAGTCGTTTGAAAAGTATTAGCAACGTTTCCAAGAATGTGAAGGAGGAAAGAAAGAGGTTAGGACGATCATAAAGAAGAATAACAAGAAGAAATAAAACTGCTGGTCGATCAGTCGTTATGAAATTGAGATCATGTTATGGCGATACTTGCAAAAATTAATCAGTCACACCAGGTATCCATTCTCATGATAGTTCAAGAGTAACCCAATACTCTGTGGACAATGCACGCGAAAGACAAGCAGAAGATTGTAACGTAAAAGTCAGCCCTGAGGAAAACCCTCTGTAGTAGCTACCTGTCGTCGTAGTTCGTTGAAAATCGACGTCACTCGTAACCTTATGTTAAAATAATTATAGAAAATTGAAAGATCAAGCTCTTCGACTGCATCAAAAGTGCAACGTGCATTTACATATAGATTCTGGAAGATCTTCCCTGCACTACTCTTCAGTCGTCGTGCAACTTTTGCTCGACTAATGGCGTATAGGTTAAGAACATATGTATAAGTTACTTAAGTACCGTGCCACTCGCTGAATGTGTAAATTCTGTTTTACTATATCGTGCATCGTTTAAATACGAGAACGAGCAGCTTGACCGGCAAGAAGGCGAGCACGCATGTTCACGATTCTTTGACTGAAAGTGGGGGACGCTATCAGTGAGAACGATGTCTTCGGCGCGTGTGACGTCACCGGGACGATTCTTCAAGTATAGTTGTAGCAGCAGGACGCGACGAGTCTTCCGTCAACCGCGAACCGGTACGACCGAGGGAATAATCGAGAAGTTCTTTCACTTCTAGAATATAATTTACTATTTTCCTCATTACTGATTTCAACGCTGCGCTTCGAGTACGTAGAATCGTATTTTGTTATTTTGGGAATTTGACGATTTTTTAATTTTTTTTTTTTCCCTGACTTTTACGGAATCTGACCGACGTGCCATCGGAGTGCTAGGTCTTTTTTTTTTAATTGAGGTTACTGCTTAGTTTTTTTTATTTTTTTTTTTATATTCGCTGTCACAATCTACAAACTATGTGCTGTGAGTCCGGGATTGCGATATAGTTGATTCTTTTTTTTTTTTAATTTTGTACGGTCGAAGGATGAGGGCGCTGTTTTTTTTTTGTAAATTCCTTGTAATTCATATATAATAATAGTTGAATTTTTAATAGAATTATTATTTGATTACGATATCATTGTTTGCACATTTCTTATCGATTGTTCAGGCCCTTGCAATCGTTAAATAACGTTACCTATTATCGATCAGTGTGTTTTTCGGTTTTTGCATGACTCGTAATCTTGAGACAAAAACAAAGAAAGCATTGTCATCCGTAATAACCGTATGCAAACAAAAATCTCAGGGACATCTAACACGCGTACTACTATCATAAATAACGTGCATCTTGGATTCCGTAAAACTGTCAAAATAAATATCATGTAAGCCAAGTGCGCAAGTTATAAAATTGTGAAAAATCTCGTGCAGGCAGGCCAGTACCAAATCGGCCTAACGAGAAGTCAATCATCGCAGCCGAAGGACGTGGACCTATCAACTATAGTCAAAGAAGAGTCGACTGGCAGAAACGCTGAGAGGAAGTAAAACGAGAAGTATATAAAAGTAATAGGAGTAAAACTAAGGTAAAACAAGGACAGAAGCACAGAGTGACCTCCGTGTTTCAAGATACCGAGTTAACCGAAGGAAGGAAGGAGCGTACACGAAGGGAGATCTAGAGAGAGAGAGAGAGGCAAATCAAGAGCAAGAGAGAAAGAGCTAGTCGGGAAAAGCAAAAGCGACCGGTGGAGCAAGAGTTACTCTCAGTAGTCGAGTGGCCAGCACAGAGTCTCATCGTGAGACAAGAGAGCGGCTAGAGATATTTAAAGAGATAGTAAGAAAATAAATAAATAAATACACCGCAGAACTCTTGGTCCTGCGATCAACTGGAATCGAGAGGCTGCTCAATCGGATATCGTAGAATCGCCAAGGAGAGGATCGTCGCTTTGAAAGGAATAATAAAAGAACACATAGAGGAAGGATCACGAAGTGTCTCGTTGTAGTACTGGATAAACAGGAGGCGACCAATCACGATTACAATAACTCGTGATAAACGTAAATAACCTGCAAAACTACCACGGCGAACAGTCTTTTGAATTCTTCTACTTCCACTTCTTCTTGTCCTCAAAGAAGACGTCGACGACGTTCGGTTGGCGCTTCGTGTGTGCGCGGTTAGTGCGGCTGTGCTCATATTCTGTATACCAGTACGTAAAACCGTAGAGACGTACAGAAGGCTGTACACGGTTACGGTGTAGAGTACGATTCGTACGGTTCACCAGCAGGCAAACACAACCACTCCAAAGTCCGTTGGCAGTTCAGTTGTCTCCGAACCCCCGAACCGTTCGGACGTGGCTTTGGACCTCCGTTATTACGGACTTTGTTATACGTATTTTGTTTTTTGCACGTCCATTAACGCGGAGTGCTACTAGTTTCGTTTTGTCCCAGGTTTTTGGTTGAGATATTTTAAGAGAATTTTTTTGTCATTTTGAAAATTTCGATACTTGCACGCCCACTGGAACACTCATTCTGTACTATTGTATTCGATCGCGAAAACGACGACTTTCGCGGTTACTGATCTCTGTGAGAGAACGGCTATTGGTACATATACTATTTGGGGTAACTTCGGCATCGGGTGAACTGGCGGATTTTCTACTTCCGGCAAGAAAATCGTCATTCGAAGACACGATTTACTCGTTGGATCCTTTGATCGATCATCTCGCTAAGACGTGAGTATTGGGAATAATTTTTTTTTATAATTTTATATTTCTTCAACATTTTTCTTAGAGGTGTAACATAACGCTGTGTTATATGTTGATGTATCTATGTACTTAGCTTTGTGTAACTGCGATACCATTTATGATGAGCTTTAGTAATTTTGTCAATGACTGTTATCGATTTTCCAAATTATTTATACAAGGGACTGTCATATTGTACAGTTATGAGTAACGGTGAAGTATATATATTTTTCTCGTTGCAATGATAATATTCAATTAAAGGGGAGTACGACTAGTCTAGGGGTGGATTTAAAAGGAAATTTTTGGGATTGAAAAAAATCATTGGATAATTTATTCTAAAAATTTTTACATTCATTTATTGATACTTAATCATAATCCCGGCGAAATATCTCTCTACAAGTGTGTCACCACGATCACAGTCCATAATTTGTTTAAAAATATGAACAATTTCAACCTAATGCTGATACGTACGACAGGCAGACATCTATTGAAGGTGCATGGAAAATTTCAAATTGATCGAACGATTGCTTCCTCTCTTTGTCTTCTTCATTATTATGGTAACTAATTTGAAAACACACAGTTTTGATAAAAACAAATGTTAAGTTACTGATAAATTTCCATACAATTACTATAAAACTTGTGATACCGTTAATCAGCTAATCCTAAAACCACAAGTCCACTTCGTTTTCAAAGAAATTTTATAGTTCAATATTTGGACCGTCCCAATGTTAAGCCAATTTTTTTAGGTATTTTACTGTAATATTTAAAAAAAAAATTCAAGGTATAGAAGAATATGCAAATTTTTTTTTTCAAACTGCCATACCATGATACGTGCCCCATAACCGGCAACTGCCTGTTATCTTAATCTAGAGTTTATCAGGATTCGAGCCGGTAGCCTTATCCTACTAGCCAATGCTATTCGGTACTTTGTATAAGACAAGCAGATAAGTTTCATCAATGTTAATTCGATCCCTATACATGTAATCTGATCGATATATCAAATTGATTCAAGAGTCAACTGTGTATTCCAGAGTAGGCCTTTCGATTACTTGCAGGTAGGTCACTGCAAAATTGTAATACGGAATTGTGCAAAGTGCCTCGCGCCATTCTCGACAGATAGCCACTGAATGACCGGCTTGTTTATAAAAATCTCAAAGTTCATCCTTAATTAATCCACCAGAATCCTCCATATCTATTAGCTTTTCATAATACACGTTAATCATCCTTGTACATATTTGTTCTTTACGCAACAAATAAAACTTGCAAAGCTACTCTTTACTGTTCGAAAATTCCTTTCAAGTCTGAACTAATGTTTCCGCCGACCACTTCCGGCTACTTTCAATAATTGAATGGACTGTACGGATCCTCCTTGATTTACATTTATAACAATAAGACGATTGCCAATGGTAACTATTAGATAGGAAAGTTAAAACAAGTTCAAGTGCAAGTAGTTCAGCGGCAGAGAAAGAACCGTCTGTGTTTAATTTAAGTGAATATATATATATATATACTCTCTTGATCTTGATTAAAATACGTGCATCACCTATAACTAGTTATATACAGTCATTCGAAGGTGTTCCTCGCTCTGTGAAACGTGTAAACAGACTTTGACACACTTTACGTACTTTCAATGGACGCGTGTCCCCGACGCTCTTGGTACGATAAACTTTTAGCCGAGTAGCCGTGCACGGTGTTGCGAATGTTATATACCCATATACAGTATACCTATATATGCAGATACAGTGCAAAACAGTTATACGGCCATTTTGAAAGGCTCTCGTGACGACGAAGTTTGGCGTTAATAGGAAAAAAAAAATTAATTCTAAAAAGTTATTCTCCATCTACTCCAAGGCACTTTTACGGATATTCAACCACATTTCCGGTGCACATGACTACGTATGTGTCCACTTTGAGTAGATCCATAACGAAGGAACTTGTCGCTCGTTGGATTTACTACGCGTTTATATTCTATGTATTCATATAACAGAAGCTGGAACTGGCGAATAAAATTGCTAATCCAATAGCGTGAATGGCTCCTGTCATGTTATTCACTTCTCAGTCGCTCCGACTATCCTCCGGGCTGTTTCGCGTTGTGAAACGGCAAACGACTGAAACTGCCGCGTCGATCGTTTCCAAGTGACTTTCTAAACTAGAAGCAATATACACTTTGTATCCTACTTGGTATACTTGTACGCACCTACCTGCCTACCCCAGCTTCGGGTACTCGTGAACAGATGCTCACGTGTGGTATCAACATTGTGTAGTACACGCGGCCTGATACGTGATCCATGTTATTTATTAACGAAGGATTCTTGCTTTGTTGAAACTGACTGACCGTAATGTCGCATTCTCTCTGGTAATTGCATAGAAAACAGCAACGATATCTTCTGTATCGTACATACCGTCAAGTGGTGCGCTTCTCCGTACAGAAGTAATAACGTTGTGGTGTATCCACGGGAACGTCATCCTGGCGGAAATAATTGACGATATTATGAAAACGCGACTTTGCGTACTCTTGAAAAAATGTTTAGGTTTAACATCGCCGCCATCTTGCGGTACGATTTTGATTCGATTATATCGCAAATCACCTCGTCGAACTTACTAATTTTTGGTCACGACTGTCACGGTTGAGGACGGGCCGTGTCTGCTGCTGCGCATGCGCGACGCTCAGTTTACTTGTATTCTTCATGGCGCTTACTTCGCAGACGGTAATCGGCATTAGCCTAATTTAAAAGGCAACAGCAATGCGCTGACACGGCAGGTAAATTACGTGCGTGAGTGCGTGGCGCATGAGTGTCACTGTTATGTCTCACGAAATCACGCAAGAGACATTTTTGAAGTTGCTGCTGCTGTTTTTTGTTGGCTTATTTATGTCCGACGTAGCCATACGAGTTAAATGTTTCGTTAGTGGCTGTCAATTTCGTACGGTTTTTACATTGCAAGTTATGATTTCTCGTGGAAGGAGGTCGCTGATCTTACGAATACGCATTTAGACTTGGAGAATGGTTCATTTCACAGGTACTGTGTCTTTTTGTAGAAAGTTTTTTTACCTCTCTCTCTTGGTTGTTCTGGGTATACAAATGCAAAAAAAAGTGCGAAGGAACGTTAAATGAATAATATGCTATGTCAAGTCGGATCGAAAACTTATCGAACTTCGTATGCTGGTACTCGGTAATAATTATTCTTGTTAATTGTCTTCTCGCTAATATTTCTTTTAAGCATATTTACTCCGGTCTCGGTACACGTGTTTACGTAACTGCGACAAATTTTCAGGTGCTATCGATCTATTTCACTGAACTCCCTATGACGATACTCCTTTATGTATTAAAATATATTACATCAGCAGCTCATTGTTGTGCCGTGCTAACGCGCGAAAAACAACGTCACGGGTTGACGACACGTTATCTTAATTAATCATGGTAATCCTCGACGTCAATCAACCTATTGCCGTGCATTTCAATATCGTATATATTCAGCCAAATACTATGAATAGAAATGATTCCAGTGCTTCGGAAGTCCATGGCTACGTAAACTAAAATCTGTTTACACGCAGGTTCTGGACTTTCAAGGATAACCAGGAGTACGAAGGATCGTACATCTTGTATTTGTATTCACTGTACCGGAAGTCATATTCACATTGGAGTCCATTCAGCTCGAAATTCAGGGAGAAATAATATAACGGATATTGATTGGCGAATTGAGCCTCAGGATATATATATCTTTTTTTTCCCATAATCAACTCTCCTATGTAGCTTTACGTTTAATTCGTCAGGATGACGTCATTCGGAAAATCCTCTTTGACTGTGGGTAAGACTTTAAAATCTTGTAACGATACAACTGATATTACTATATCGTCTTTCTATCTGTACATGAGTCCCAGGTGACTTTGCTGTACAAACGATGAATTTTGGCCAATTAGTAAGATGAACCTTGACCTCTGGAACTGTCTTGTCTAGAAAAAAGACGCTTGGAACGCTTTTAATGCTCAATGCTGATTTTGTCGTTATTGCGAACAGTTGAATCAGCCTGTATGTTTGGTTGGATCCAAATCACCTGGTTGTGCTATAAACAGAATTACGTATGGTCTGACGGTAGCTATCGGAGTTAGCTCATGAAAAAAGCTTTGCTGTGTATGGTATGTATGAACAGTGAGAATATTAAGGAGAAAATTGTTCTTTAGATCCATTCAGATGATAATTAAGGAGGATTCTCAATTAACCAATTGGTTGGAACTTTCTCCTCCGTTCGTCACTGTCTCTTGCACGTATGTATTGGCTGCTACGCAATTCTTGGTATTGATTTGGCAAAGGAAAAAAAAATGAAAGGAAAATCAGGCAGTATACTAGGCATTCGCACGAATGTGTTCCTCTTGTAGCCATATACCAATGGCGTACCAGACTGCAAGAAGGCCGTCGTTAAAGACTGCTCAGGGTGTTGCGGATCAGGATTCTACATACACGTCAGGTTACCAAATGAAATGTTCAAGTGAGCCAAGGTCGGTGTCCTACCTCTTTCGTGCTTTCACTGTAAAAAGTTATTCGACAAAGAGACTCGGATTTATTTGCAAACGGGAGCGAGAGCGACGGACGAAGGAAAAAAAAATAATAAATTCATATGACCAGCACAATTGTACGGTCTGATTAACAGAGATGGTTGAGCATTTTTTTAAATTTATTTATTATTGAAGTCGAAATGTCTATTTGGCACGAAGCTGTAAAATGGGACACGATTTTTTTAAATGTACAGTCATTGCTATGTTTTTTTGTTTTATATTCTCTACGTTAACGCGTTCCTTTGTTGTAATCTGAGGCGCCGCGACGTCCAGCGTCATTGTTGTGTTTTATACGATTTTTTTTTACTTTCTTGTCGCTTTTTTTTCGTTATGCCGATATCCATAGTTTTTAACTTGTAAGATGGCTATCGATGCCGGTGGTCGACTATCGTAACAGGTGCGTCTGTTTTCGAAAGATCGATGACGTAGAGCCTTGTTTTTTCAATCGACCGCGTTTCACTTAATGACCTTCTTTCTTGGTAACGAATATATTGTAGAGTCGCGTAATTGACGGGATGACATCGGGGGCTTAGGCCAATTCCATAGTCTTGGAATTGATCGGTATACAAAGAACATATTATAGTGATTACAAAGGTCATCCTAGTCGGCAAAACTGCCTTTGGTAATTATTTCGAGACGGTAATTGAGTTTTTAATTTTTAATAAATGGAACCCGTAATTGGTAATAGTTTGAAACGCGGGAGAGTTAATGTCGTTGATTGTTAAATTTACGAAAAATTGTGCTTGCTCGTGAACATGAGATTGTTCTTGAAATTCGCTTTTCTTCTCGAGAACAATTTTTTGCCTAGAGTCATTTATATTCAGCGTTAAAAAATTTAAATGACTCGAACTTTTTTTCAAGGGGATTTCATGCTTTTAATTATATACAGTCATTTTGTAAATGGGAATTAGGTCGACCTGCATATCACGAATTTTTAATTTGACACGTAACTGAATGTATGGAAAATTTTTTTTTTTTTCAAAATTGAAATATCCGTGTAAAATCAGTTGATTACGAAGTCCTTGGACGATAATGATAAACGATTTTTACGTAATTAAATTTTACGGTCTTTCCTTACCAGAAATCGTATCTTGATTCTTCGATGCTGATAAGAAGTTTATACGCATAATAAAACATTTAATTTATAAAACATTTCACGTGGTACCGCGTGCGATACTAATTTTACAAAAATGTACCATGGTCTATATTTATCCGCGAATCGACCACCGTGATATCACCCGATCGAATATCGATAATCGAGCAATAAGTACGCAGGGAATTGACGGCGTGCACGTAGCCATAAGTAAAGAAGTTTCGAGCACAGAATACAAAGAATCATAAATAACCCAGGAGCAATGAGTCGAAAAATAAAATTTTTAAATTACAATCCTTCCATACGAAGACGCGTTGAACAATTTTTATTACATATGCCGAGTCTGAAGAGAAGTACATATAGAGACAAGTGCGAGAAAGCAATGAAAAATTTGTATTTAATTAAAAAGAAAAAGTATTCCTTCACAAATCACATGTTATTTTACCCCACGGCACGTGCAGCCCATCTATACCTGCATAAACACACGTCAATACAGGGTATGTAATAACAATAATGTTTTTCCAAGAGTCGACCGTAACAAGACGTAACCTCAAACTTGTCCCGATTCGTAAAGAAAAGAAGCAGTATCTTTATTTACCCATAAAATTTGATGTCCACTTTACGTCCTCGGATGGTAAGAAAGTATTCTGTTTCACTTGGTACCAATCATTTTTTCTATCTAATAATATATTGAACGCAGCACGCAACGCCGGTATTGTTTCCATTTGAATCGACACGATACAAAGCTTCTCGTTAATAGTGACTTGATACAATACAGTGTGAGCGTCCCTTAATTACGATGCGCGTCGCGACGCGTGTCACGACATGGCACGACCGTACAGCGTACACGTACGATTGCGCATTCACATCGATTATATCGTTCGGGAACGAATCGACTCCTTTTTATGTTTGATTTGCGCGAGTAATTAAAGTCCGCGGTAATAACGAGTGAACACTTATTTTCGTGACACCCAGTAGCTGAGTAGCAGCAGCCCTTGATTCGCGTCACATAATTGTTACGTAACTCCTGGTAGACGTAGGTAGATCGAGGTAGACGAAAAGTTCGGGAAATTCGAAAATAATGACTTCTACAGTATACGGTGTTATGGGTTTAGTTAGTGCGCGGTAGAATATTCCATTTTGCAAATGTCAGACAGTAATTGTCTGTCGTCATTACAGATGTGATTGCATCTTTGATATTTTTCTTTTTTTCTTCTTCTTAGTCTCTCGTTTCTATCGGTCGTTCTGATGGAAAAGTACCATGTAGAATTTTACATGCCGAGACGCCTTGGTGATTTCCTCGTCTATCTAGGGAATTTCGTATGGCTTCATTTTCGGTGCTTGAAAAGTCTTATTTACGTAGTCGTATGTCGCTCGAGACACGGACGATTCTTATTAGTGCTGTTGTGTCGAACGATTAAAAGTTTGAGGTTATGCACAAGGAGGACTGGGTGTCCCGTTTTTAGTTTCGAGAAAAAAAAGGAAAAGTCCGTCCGTCACTTTTAACCGTGCGCGGGAGTCGATGCAGACGAAACCAGAATGCATTGCGAGATACTGTTTGGCAATATGGCCGCCGTTTACATCGACCGTGTCCCGGGATCACTCGTGCTGGAAATAATTTATGTTATACGAATTTTGTGACAATTACAATAATATATATAGCACGTTCTCGGTTGTGTCGGCGGTGACAGTGTGTACAGTGATATGTGAAATGATGTCGCTCCGTGTGCAGAAGGCTTTTTTTTCGAGCGATAGAAACATTGTTCGCGCACCATTAAACCAATTGGATTTCAATGAGAATAATGGCCGTCCGTATGCGACTGCGACGAGGCGCAAATGTGTTTAGGCCTTACTCACGTAAACTTGACGATTGTTTTCATTTCGCGGGTTCACTCGTTACGCCGCCTCTGGCGATTACTCGACTTTGTGCACGCTCCATAACTCTTTTGACGAGATACACTGAAAGTACCTTGACAGTGAAGAATTTTTTTTCCCCGATTGCCGTTAATGCTTGTTTACGTATAAAGCACAGCAATGCATTCTGGGTAGTGGATGACATTTTTTTTTATGTTAAATTGTCATTTTTTTCACTTTAAATATATTTTTAATTACGACGTAATCCTGCATGATTCCCACATGGGATGGCATTGCGTGACGTTCGCGGAAACGATGGAATTCGCGCGATCCGCGAGAATCAAACAAAAGCCGACCTTGGCCAAGATCAAGATCTGATTCGTTCGACAAAAAGTGGCTAACGATCGCATGTTACCGAACCGTGGGAATTGCCGCTCCGTTTCTTGCAATTTTAACAAAGGTCGAACGATTCGTCTAACAAGAAGACACATGAGGCCCGGAGATCTACTTATATGAATTGACTTCAACTCGATGGGAAGCGGTCAATGAATTTTCTTGGTTTGCGTTTTGCACGCGTTTCAATAGAGGTATTCTGTTAATTTTCAATTACTCCTTTTTTTTATCTTTCTTTTCATTCGACACGTACCCGGACCGCTTTACAGCGACTATATACCGGTTTCGTTTGGTTTGAATTACCACGTTATTTTCAACGAAGTTCATACGATTCTCGCCAGATGGCTAATTTCAATTCTCTATTGTTTTGTTCTCGTTTATTCGCGCATCTACAAGTTTTCCCTTACTCATATCTCTCCCTCTCTCTCTTTCACACTGTTGGAAGTCAATCCAGATAAATTCGGACTCAACCAATTCGAACCGGCTTTCACTGGAAGTAAACGCAAACGGCACGTATAATTTCACAGACGATATCGCCCGTGAAAATTGACAACGGCCATATTGAATCCCTTGTTTATCTGTTTGTTTATATCTTCCCTGCTTACCTTTCATTGACAGAGGAAACAAATTTATTAGTTATATATTGTCTTTGAAAGTCCAATCTCGCTTTGATAACTCGTTTAATCATAATTTCAAGTTATTTTTTTCTTAATTGCACATAACACGTGTACATTATTGAATCGCGACCGTCGCAGCTGCACGAAAACAATTTTCAACTCGACTGATTCGAATTTGAGCATTAGTTACGCTATATGCTTCTGCGACTTGGCGCTCTTCGTAAAAATGCGTCCTTTGACTCGAGTCGTATTTTCAACTGATTATCATAATGTGCCAGACAAGCTTCACGATAGGCTCATTGTTACAATACGCTCGATAACATTCTTGCGACTAGCAGCAACAGTAACAGGGACACCTTCATTCTCGTCTTCGTTTCTCAGATGACTACTCGACCAATTAACTCGCCAATTAATTACGCTATCCTACATCAGCGTTGGAATCAATTACAAACTTGTATGATTGTATTGAAATGTTAAAGATATCCCACTGTCTCATTTGAATTTTGCCGCCTTCCCCCCCGTCCATCATCATTATATTTGTCGAATCGCACGAAAATTCTCAAAATAATATATAAATTGTCATACCGCCGTGTGGGCTGGTTTTATCCATAAATTCTAGAAAATTCATTTAAAAATGGCTGTCGTGACGTATCAGCTTCCTGATAAAAATGTTGAACGACTTTCGAACACACGTTTGCCTATGTATAACGTAAGTCCACAAGGTCGTTATTTGCCAACAACGAAATATTCTCCAAAAAAATTGACGTTCCAAGAAGACCAGTATAATTCGCGTAAAATTTGTTTCCCCCTAAATTAGCATATACGCCTTACTGGATAAATCAATTTACGCATGTCGCTTACGGCTAATTAATATTTTTCTCATAATTCTCACTTATGCCGTAGATTAAGGATCTTTGAAGTTTTTATTTTTTTTCGATCAGCGTATACAAAATTCAAAAAAAAATATCACTACGCGTTAGTACGTCTTATTTATCACCGTGACTCAACCAATCTCGGTGAAATTCTTTCGGGCTACATTGACTTTTGACATTTTCGCATTGATCCCGCCTATCAATTCTACTCCTGCCGTAATCACCTACGTACTATATCTACGTACGATCGTTCAGCCGAGAGAATTCTTTATCCCTCCGGGTATACAGCGGCTAGTGATCCTGACGAGTTGATGAACGTATTTATAAAAAATATTTTTAAAACACTAATGGATCTACCTGTTGACCGAGAATTGACTTTAGCTCGGAGCGACAGTCGCAACGGGTTTTTTTTTTCGAAGTCAAGATTATGACTTAATAGGGGAAAAAAAACAGTCGACGTAATTCGTCGGTTTTATTGGATGCAATCATTTCCCCCCCTCACTTCCCCTACCCACTCGAAAAAAAAAACAAAGTAAAAAATTTTAACCACGTAAAATTCTCTTAAGTCACTTTCCACATGACGAAGTTGTATTTTACCATATTTTTCTCATTTTTTCTGCGACGTTTAATATTTTCTTTTTATCACACTTAACCTCAAGGTCAATACTTGAAGACTCATCTTCGCGTACCAACCGATCGCCAATGTCCACTTACGATAATTGCATAATAGCTGGTAGATTGTAAAAAAAAAAAGAAGAATGTCATAAAATATAAAATTATTATAAAAGCATAAAATTGATTATCCGTTCATCGCGTGACATTCAATTCGCAAGTAAAATTTGCCGCTGAAAATTATTTTGTTGTTTCCAATGATAATTAACGGCTTCCATTGTTTAGCATTGATTTACATTGATTTACCACATATTTGCGATTACTCGAACAAATCGATTATCCCAATACCCATGTGCACCGATCAGTACGAATAATCGAGATTGTACCGCATCTACAAGCAGGATGACGTAGAGACGTAATTCGCGTCACGAGGGGATTAGTAATCTTTTAGAGAAAAAAAAAGAAAAAAGAAAATTGAGTCGAGTCATTCCCAGTCGCTAATGAATTAGCGCTATGCGATTTCCGGCCTGGCTGATTACAATGGAACTACCAGATGTTTACAGTCCATTCACAATGTGCATTAACCATAGACCCATACTCGAGATATGGAAGTTACAATAATCACGTGTAATTTCCGTAACGATTAAAATAATATATATACATATACGTGCATATGTCAAAAATCTCAATAAAATTGTTATTTACTCATTCTTTCCAGGTAGCCGACACAGATAATGGTGGCTTCGCAGAACGACGGTGGCAGAAGCGGCACCGTACCGACGGACGACGCGGTCTACACCGTCTCCGTAGGCGGAGTTGGTTACCGCAACGATGGATACAGGGAAGACGGTACCGACGGCATTCCGCCGGAACCGACCAAGCCGCCCCAGCTGCCACCTGCCGACGACGACAGTCAGTCACGAAAGTTCCGATTGTCACGTGGCGAGAAATGGCGAATCCTCAAGAACATCGGCGCCGTGTCCGTAGCCTTTATGGTACAGTTCACGGCCTTCCAAGGCACGGCCAATCTTCAGTCGTCGATAAATGCCAGCGAGGGTCTTGGCACCGTGTCCCTGTCCGCAATATACGCGGCCCTCGTACTCTCCTGCATCTTCGTACCTACCTTCCTCATCAAGAGACTCACCGTCAAGTGGACCCTATGCGTGTCGATGCTCTGCTACGCACCCTACATTGGATCACAGTTTTACCCCAGGTTCTATACCCTGGTACCGACCGGTGTCCTACTGGGTCTAGGTGCCGCGCCCATGTGGGCAGCCAAGGCCACCTATCTGACCCAGGTCGGCGGTGTCTACGCCAAGCTCACTGATCAACCTGTGGACGCCATTGTCGTACGGTTCTTCGGGTTCTTCTTCCTTGCTTGGCAGACGGCTGAACTCTGGGGAAACCTGATCTCGTCCCTTGGTAAGTGTACTCGGGTGGTTGGATTTAATTCATTATTTCTTCTTTTTCTCTCCACTCGCACACAGGATGCTGCCGTTGTATTTTTTGAGAAGAATCTTTACCGGATTTTTCAATGTTTCCGTATGCTTCGGAGCTGCAAGTGGAGAACCGTCGAGAAAGCAACGGAGAAACAAAGACAAGGATATATATATATATATATATATATATATATATATATATATAAGCACTGGACCTCATTTTGCACGAACGTCATGAAGAAATCGCGTCCTGGTCGTTTTTGCGTTTGAATATTTATCACGTATCATTTGAATAAGCCGGTCACGCCGATTTTTCTCTGCCCTCGGGCTAACCGCCAGGTCCTCTTCGTCATTGTGTACCAAGCTCTTCTACGCGAGCGCCATCTGTATTATAACGAGGAGCGATTCCATATTTATGCGTATACACCTAGTAGAGTCTATTTAATTTTTTTCTCTTTCTAAAAATAAGACAAATCTCACGGACTGGGAAGTGCCGATTTAAACGCGTTCTTATTTATACCAACAAAACCACATGTCGTTTACGAAGTCGTCTGGTTTCTCTCCACCTCTTCCCCCCCAACCCGCAAATCGACTTTGCGTAATATCAACTTTAAGAAAAACACACGGAATCATGTCCGAAATTGATTCTTCTTCCGTCAGCGCACGTATAAGCAAAAATATTCTCTTGGCCGTGACGTCACGTGTGCAATGAAAACAAACCGATTCCCTTCCGTATATGTTTATCCGTATTTTGTTAATTCACTCTTTCTCTTTGTACTTCTATAATAATCTGAGCGCACCTGTGACACTGCCTCTTTAAAGTTAGCAGCGCGACGTCGAAAAGAAGCAATTCAGTTTATTAAGCAGGCAATCGATTAATCATTTTACTCTGTCGATAACTTAACTCGTTTGGTTTATCTGCTATTATATTTTGGCGCCTGGTTGTGTATCAAAACAATATTTGTATGTCGTCTTCTTGGTACACGACTAATTTGGTGTGCATATATATATATATATTTTATATATATGCACATAAAGTTATTATATACGTAACCATATGATGATTGGCTCAAGTATCTAACATTCTAACGGATACGCAATACACGCAACCGTTTGGACTAGGCGGTTTAAACAGCAGAGGAATCATACCAGCCAGTAGTAACAGCAGAGAATCAGTCAGACTGTCCGACCAAACCTTTTTCCTTCTCCGCTTAAGATATATTGAAGCAAGCTTGTGTGATATATATATATATATATATAACCGTAAGCAAGTGGAGAATGACTGCAGGCAGCCTGCCAATCGAGATTTATCCGGTATAAACTCGCTTTGGTTGCTTTCCTGTACTACTGTTGTTGTTGCTGATAATGTTATTATTATCAACGTATACCTTCGCCCGGCACATTCACTCCTCGCACACTGAATCTGGATATAATGTTAGTAATGGAAGTCGTGAGGATTATGGGTATAGGTAATTAGGTTAGGTTAATGGATATAAAATACGTATATACATACGTATAGTATGTATATGACTGATTATTTCCTATTGCCAGATTGACTCTATTGATTACACTCCACTCGCTCAACTTACAATTCTCTTAGTCACCCGTTCGCTCACTGAACTCTACCTAACCTGACGGGTCTACGTTTCTGTTTTACCGACAATAGGAAACGCTCGTCGCGCCGTTGGGATTCTTGACAAATATATTGGCGACAAAGGTCAAGACTGTTTCGAGTCCTTGCGGAAGGTCGTCGTGGGGTTATGCGTTACGAACAGGCGTCGACGCCGAGCGTCGATACGCGTTTTATATATGTAGAATGCAATTTACAAGTATAGTATGCGTAAGTGAAAGGACGTTACTCGGCTTAAGTTCCTTGACACGCGGGCACTTTGACACTCGGTCTGGTCTGTTATGGCGAATGATATTCATCGCGTGTTTCCTTTTACTCTGAGGAATTCTTTTCTTTTTTTTTTCTTTCTTTCCAAATAACAATTTACTTTGTACGCGTCATTCAGTAATCTTTTTTTACGGTCTCTCGTTTCTTTGTCCATTGTCGTTAATCGGTTCGATGTTTTGAAATTTTTTTTCCTTTGGTCCCCGATAGACTTTTTGGTGGTTAATTTGTCGTTTCTTTTGTTTGTAAAATTTCAGGGTTTTTTGTTTCTTCTGTATTTGCGATCAATCGTCACAGTGACCTACGTGAGTCAGGGAAATTGATCGGCGACGGTCGCATAGTTCTCTCATGAAAATGCATAGTTAACTGCACGGCGACAATGGGGTCTGACGGAAATTCATGTGGGCGCGGGGGAATTCACAGCTCACGTGCTTTCTTGGGATGTATAGATATAGCTAGGACTGTGTCACTGGTTGATACCACGTGGAAATTTTGAGTCAATATCAAGGTGCTAAATGCATTCGTACTCAGTGTGATTCATCTTGATTCCCGTGTCTTTTACTCGTATCGCGTTTCGTGTTTCACTCAAAGTTACGTGCGCTCTCTGTGAATCGGAATTTCGCATTAGTGACAGTGATTTATGAAGAAAAAAAAAAATTTTTTTTTTCACTTTGAATTTAAACTTAATTGCCCATTTGCGCGCTTTAGTCAACGTCCGCTCGAACCGATAATAAGCTCTGACGTTACATGGAAATTTACATTTATGAAACTATTCTTTTTCGCTTTTCACTCGAACGCTTGTCGTTATTCGTTAAAATACGGTAAACCCTGCTATCTTGGACTGTATTTTCAATGAGCGATTCCACTCGTCGTATTGTCACTTTTCTTTACAATTGAAAATTTATCGATCACCTCGACAATCTTACGTAACGACCACAAAAGAATATGTCCATAAGTTTTTTTTTTTCTTTCTTATATAAAATGGCAGCTGTCTTATCGTCCGCGCTAAAATTCGCTAAAACGTCATTTTTGGTATCGTCGTCGACAGGTTTGGCTGAATACACAGAGCGAGGTGGTTAAGCGTGGAATGAGAAAAAGGTGTATCCGCAATAAGGCGATCGACCGAGAGTCTCTAGGATCTGGTGAAAGTTGTACCGATGGCGCGCGATCACGAATGCAGATTAGCCAATAGGAATTCCGAGTAGCGTAAAAGTATTCAGGAAGAACGTGACGGACGGGGAGGGAGGGGAGGCCAAAGTCTCGGCAATTTTTTTTTCCTCATCTCTTTCAAGCACAAGACGTGCCAGAGGAATCGGCCACGTGGCGGGCACGTGCGAAAAATCACAAGTGAAAACGATTCGCCGTGAATTTATTACGAGGATTTTTTAATGCGGATAAAAAAAAGAGGCCATTGAAATGGCATCAATTTAAATAATATATATATATATATATTGATTATTGCACAATAAGCACCATTACCCATAGCCATCTGAATAGTTGTCGAAGGAGACGGCATTCGCTTACGCGATAATTGGCATTAAAACTTGTCGTTAGATATTTATGGTGACGGGATTTCTAAGTATCGACGACAGTTCGAGGGAGAGAAGGAGCGGAAGAGGGGGGGTAGGGAGGGGGGTAAGGGGAAATCGACACTGCGTGCATAATCGAATACGTCCTTCCTACGTCCGACGTTATTTATTGTTTCCGGAAAATGTAGAGAAAAAGAGTGGAAAAAAATGTACAGCCTAAGCGCGTGGGAAAAATTGGTTTTTTTTTTTTTTTTACGTAATTAAAGAAAAAATTTTTTTTGCAGTTCTCAGCGAGGGTGAATTCGGCAGCGGTGGCGGCAACGGAAACGGCAGTGCCAACGAAGAAAAAATAAAGTTATGCGGTGCCAATTTCTGCGTTCTTGGCAATGGCGTAGAGGACAGTCTGAAGCGTCCACCAGACCACGAGATTTATGAGATTTCTGGAATTTATCTTGCCTGCGTAATCCTGGCTGTCATGATCGTCGCCGTGTTCGTGGATCCTTTGTCGAGGTGAGTTTTTACCTATTACGATTTAACGCGACGAGCGTCGTTGGCTTTTAATCGAGAAATCGAACATTTGAAATTGCCGCGTATATTTTGAACATCTTTGAAGAAATTTTTTTTCATAAAAATCCTCAAAGAAATTATTCGGTTAATCGTATCTTACGAAAATATCGAATAATCATCACCGATCGTGAGAGTATCAAGTAAATCGATATTATCGACCGAAACCTTTAACGCTCGATAGGACGCACCTGGTGATGACGTATATTGCAACCCGTCGTACAATGCATGTACAGGTAATAATTGACAATCAATAATGATCGATCGTCCGTACCTAAAGGCAACGGGCTCTCTAACCGCGAAAGCAGATACGAGCGTGTTTCCATAATGTTTGCCAATTCTGGCAAAATGTAAATAATATTTTAGTTGTTATTCCCAAGTAATATTCCACACCTGAATTCAATCAGTTCTCTGAAACCTAACAAGAGAAGACACGTAGCTCAGGCGTAGACTGAACATTGGCCCTTTATTACGGAGTTATCGATAATCTAAATAAGCGCCACTAGCGAACTCTACCGGCAGTCACGGGAAGTTCGTTGCTCCCCTTGTCGACCACGGGAATGACGCGTCTGCCTTCCCTTCGGCTGTCCGCCCATAGGAAATCTTTTCTTTCCTCGACTTGTGGCCGCCTTCTTCAATGTGCAACTTAATTCGTCCATAGAGGAGGAGTCTTATTCCACGTAAAATAGTTTGAATAAGGTACGTTAACCGTAAATACCGTGTTGAACGCAAGAGCGAAGAGCAGCACGACTTCAGGATATTATTGAAAGTCGTTAACGTTTAAGGCTGTTTTTCGTTCGAAACAGCAAGAGAAAAATCCACATCGCTGTGTTTACCAACAACGAGTACACCGAGTGCGTCGCCATTGTTTATACGTCACCGTGTATACACCAGTTTGAGTCTCACTGCTGTCAAAAGCGTCTCGGTTATTATCTCTCGAGGACTAAATTTATGTTCTCGTTATTGTTCGGGAACTTTTCAGAAAAGTAATCGTAAGTACGGAAGACTCCGTCCCATATGATTACTCGTCGGCGTCCGTCGTGTTTACCATGATCGATAAAACGTGACAACACGACGAAGCCTTCTCCCGGGGACAAACAGAAGAAATTGATTGGATGAGTCATACTAATTATTTTTTTCCAATATCTTTTTTCTTTATCATCCAAATGTCGGTTTTACCTGCACGTTCACTCGCCAAAGTCACTTTAGTCGTTGACTCTCGTAGAGTTAGGTTAGGTCGATGTCAGCTTTTGTCTGCGACGAATCTTCGCGGGTGCCGCTGTGGACGTTTTCCGTTTTTTCTCGAAGATTCGACGTTGTTAACGCGTACAACTATGGAGCAGGGGGATAAGGGAGGGGAAGGTAAAATGATTCTCGTAGTCGGTTCTGTTTTTTTTTTTTTTTTTTTCTAGCAGGATTACGAAACCGGGCTTAATAACCGAGTAGAGCAGAATCCGCGGAAACTCTTCGGCTGACTCGCTATAAACATTGCTCTATTCGTGATTGCGAACTAGCGTACATCCGACGGGATGCATCAATGCGCAGCCAGAAGTTACGTAACGTATATTCATTATCGACGAGGTCCAAGTATCCCACAGGATACTCGTACGGGTTCCTAACCTAAATTTCATTGTGAATCGATATGAAGTTTCGACACTTCCGGTGCATCTCTTATCCAGATTCGAAATCGAGAGACCCCTTTTTCTTGTGTTTACAATAATTTTTGACATTAGACAGTTCGATCAATGACTAATCATTGTAGGTCACGTGTCAGCACGTGGGTTCACAGTGGAACTGCGACTTTTCCCTGTTGGCTTAACCTCGTGTACGCTCGTGTGCATTCGTCCTGATATGGGGCACTTGCCGATAACTCGCAAAGAAGGGAAACGGTCAGAGCCGACCAGGCGGCTACTAGACTCTAAAAACAAGGAAACCTAGACAAACAGTTGCAACCCAACTATATATGTATATATGTACGTATACTTGGGTTTGTCATTGTTACCCTAGTTTAAAGTTCGTGCCGTAAGTATACATATAGAACGCGGAGACTTTGTTACGTTTTTTTTTTTCTTCATATTCGTCATTGTTTGCTCAGAAACAATGAGAAATTGCTTTTCTTAACTAGGTGGTACAGCTAGTGGATGCACCTGCAAGTACAGTCTGCTTGACAACACGGTTGCCGTATTGATATATATTTTGTATATGAATATTGTACACGATGTGAACGTAATTTCCTTTTCCGTCGATCGGATGCTGGCGAAAGGCCTCGGCGGTTCGCAAAACAGGTTAACTTCCGGTTAACGTTGTCATTAGCTCTCTAGGTCGAAAAATAAATTATCGCTCCGATATTTACTACTGCGGGTCTTCAATGGGATCCTACGTACAATAGTATTACGTGTATACGTGTGTATATATATATATATATATATTGAATGACTCCAAGAATCAAAAGCGTGGGTTTCTAAGGAAACGACACAAGAATTTACTTATAATATCATGAGGATCGTCCGCAAAAGTTCAACCTGACCTAACCTCAGTGACGCATATCAACCACGAAGTTTGTTGGTTTGGTGATGTGCGCGTCACAAGACGCACCTCTTACACGAGGCATAAGCTTATCATATTAACACCACCTTTCGTTCGCTACTGCATCATATTATTAAGACGTGTGCTAGTGCCTGACCTGCGCAACTCTGTCCGTACCATTATCGTACGCAGTGACATCTATCGGATAAAATTAAAGACGATTCTCAATGTCCAGTAATTGGAGCAGCTCGTGTGGCGAATCGTCGTTGGGATCGAAGGTATGGATAAAAATAATTATCCCGTTTCTCTAGTCGGTCGAGGGCGGCAGGTCAGCCATTTTGAGGAACGGGCGCCATTTTAATTCTCTTCGCCGTAATTTACCTTTTCGAACGCTTCGTTACGTAGCTTATTACGTCTCTGGCTTCTTGACGTTTTTTTATCCTTGTATCGTTTTTTTTTTCCACGTTCTTTCTCTTCAATACCGTGTAACACTGGCTTCTTCGAGTTTACGTATACCTACTTCCTTTTTATTATGATTTTTATCTCCCGTGATATCTACATACGGGCATTACGCAAGTCCGATAGATCGTACCAAGTGCCGCCATCTTCCTCGGGTGGCCAAGGTTGCGCTCCGTAACGGTTTAAACAGGACGGTTCTCGGAAAGGCCCGCGCACACGTTAAAAACTTTTAATCTACATGACTCCCAGAGCTGGGACGCTCTTCGGTGGTGGCAGCATCGTTTTCAAGTGATAACGTATTTCTTGGACAACCTTGTCAAGGCTGTATCCTCCCGGAGCCTCGGCTTACCTCTCTGAGGAACGTCATACGCCAGATGAACTCTGTCACGTGTACGACTGACTTTCTGTATGCGTCACTCAACGAGTGAATAATTAAAGGCGTTCTTGTTGACAAATTTTTTTACCTTCCTTTTCCTCGTCCTTCGTAGACGTTTCAGAAAAATTTCACCAGCTTCCAAAGGTGTGTGCAACGATACGACGATTAGGTATGACGTCATTTTTTTTCTTCCTTTTTTTTTTTTTTGTTTTTTTTTAATATACAGCCGTACGTGCAAACACTCGCGTTATGCGTCTGACTCATGTACGTTCTTGAATTATGTATCTGGAGTGATTGGAAAACGTGTAGTGTCTGATCAATATTTTTTTGTTCTCTTTATTTTTTCTATATACCACTTATCTTTGCACGGTACCGTTCTATTGTCGTATCGTAATACCGTAATTTATTGAACGGGAACATGAGACTCGTAACGGAAAAACGAGATGGTCTTTTTTGTTTCGTTGTTTCTTTCATTTCTTTTCTTGAAATTCCACAAGACACTTTCAATAATACGATACAGTCTATCGACAGGCGTTGCTCTGGTGTTATGTAAAAGGAAAGAGAAAAAAAAATTGTTTCTCCTTACAATTCGATTTTTTGTCCCTCGTCACGTGGCTGCTAGACGAATAGATGCAATAGAAACAAATGTATATCTTTGCGAAAATTTACACCTGCTGACATAACCTCATCTACGCGTATGAGAATTACTCACGTGATATGTCACGTTGGCTCGTCTGGAGGTCGACTGTGTAATGGCCAATTTCTTCACCTGATAAAATTTATCCTGCGGTTAAATACCCAGCTAATCATTCATTTACTTGCTTTAGCAGTTTATCCGTAGGATAAGTTTTATACGAAGGTGAAGAATTTAGCGATAACTCGTGGTGAAAATACGAAAAGTGAATAGCTGTTAGCCAGTCGCGTGTTAGGGTCAAAGGAAGATTAGCACAACGATTGGCTAACAGCTATTCACTTTTAGCATTTTCAGTGCATTTCAGTTACACAATCGACCCCCTCGTCTGCCTCAGGGACACGTAGTCAAAACGGCGTGAGACGAACGAAAGTTTACGCGGACGCGTAACGAAGGAGGTAAAGATCCTGTCTGTTATTTATAAGATGACGCTGTGATATTCTTCTCGAAGCTTTCATGTGTACCTGCCATCTACGGTCCCGGTTTGCGAAGGTTCACCCTTGTATTCAGAAACTAAACGTGTTCTCTGGAATGCCGTCCGGGTTGTTTGCCAGGCTGGCGCGACGGCGTTACCAGCGCCACGAGATTTATTTAGCGAATTCGTTCCCGCAATACCGACTCTCGCGCGTCTCTTATTTCGATCCTGGTTAAACCTCCGGCAGGATTGTCCACGTGTCTGGTGGCTAAATATAGCACGAAATAATTAATCCTGCCCCTGCCTGAGGACTCGTTCCGTGCACGCAGCGATTCTCAACCGTACCACGCGCCGAAGCGGTCGAGCGGCCGTGACAATAGCCAAGCGGACTAGTCCAACCTCAAAATTAGTAGACAATCGTACTACGACGCGTCGTAAGGCAGAGTACGTATTTTTCGCATTTTATGGAAAGAAATGGCGATTACGCCTTTCGAAAATATCGGTCGGTTAATAAGAAGTAAAATCCGTGGACAATTCGTGTATAACGCGAATCGTGACGATTATCGTCATTGTGGCTTCGATAATAAAAACAGAAGTCACTCCTATTGTGTCGTGTTGAGTTACGCGGATATTCATGAATGAACGAGCGGTTACGCTCAATGGCGAATGTGTCAATGAGTTTTAATTGTGCAATCAACATTTCCTCCCGGTGCTTTTTGATTTGATGCATAATAACAAGCCAGTCTTGTTGTGTCATACTTTGTTCGACATATGCCAACGGCATTTCATAGTCGAACGCGCGAGTGTTATTCTAGCTTTCTACGTGGGGGCATCCTTCGCTCTGCTTTATTTTATATTCGACTAAATATAGAATTGCCCGACAAGGAAAGTCTCACGAAGGATCTCACTTCTTGTTCAGGTATGGCGAGAAGCAGCGACGAGTCGACAGCCAAGAACTCAGTGGAATCCAATTGCTCTCGGCTACTGCTTACCAACTGAAGAAACCGTACCAGCAGCTTCTGATACCAATTACAGTATGGATCGGTATGGAACAGGCTTTCATCGGTGCAGACTTTACTCAGGTTAGTGGTAAAGGACAAATGAAAATTCAATAATGCATAGGGATTTTTGTATGATTATTATTTTTTTTTTTTACAATTTTTCTTATACTCGCATCGACAATATACATTTTTGCCTTCCTTCCTCGTGAACGATTTCCGCATTCCGACATTTTTCCCTTTTTTTTTTTTTTTTTGGATTCTCGCTTCTTTCCTCCTTTTACCTATTTATATGGCGACGCACGCGACACGCCTTTGGCTACGATCGCTATGCCGATCTCGCCGTGTCTGTAAAATCGTATCGATCCGATCGTCTAATAATAGTGTTGCGATCTAGGAGGAACGAGGCTGCCGACAGCCAGAATGGATACTTTCTAATGGCGACCACGTACTCCTGGTACTGGCTCCCTTTCGTGCACATCGGTACGCGTTAACAATTTATAATGACAAAGTGGTGTGTAGAGCGTCGTTACGCTTAACTACGATGCTTTGCATTGGGAGTTGGTTTCTTCTGGATATCGGACTTTGGCAGTTCTTGTCTGTCGTTGGTACGCCTTGTTTCTCGAGAAAAAACGGACTTTGAATTTTTTAATAATTATTAATTGGATAGTAAGATAAATTTATGCATTTTCTTAATACTCGAGGTTTCCTGTAATTTTTTTTTTTTTTTTCACGGGGACGAAGAAAGATACTTCTCCGAAGGATACTTCAAGTTTAACGAGTTTCGATCTGACGTCCGTGCAATTAGTCAAATTATGTATTCGAGTGAAAAAGAGGGAAAAAAAAAATTGTATCTTTACCTTGGATACGACGGACGTATCGTACTAAATTGTTTGAGCACTTCGATGACTCAGTTCTCAGATCCTGATTTGAGTCTCGTGCGACGAACGTCATCGACGAGCGCGTTGTGGCTAGGATATAAAATCCTTATTACCCGTCTCGCGAGTCAATCATTTCGATTATTTTATCGTCCACGACCTTGAAGTTCTCATAAACGTCGACGGAAATACGTTCGCGCATGCGCAGTAGCAGTTTTCCCGACCTTGTCGGATAATCGTGGACACGAAGGACGCCGCCTTAACGACGACCGCGTCGCACTGAGGATTCTCAGTTGTTGTACTTAGAAAAAAAATTGCTAACTCGCTGCCTATCAATTTCAATAATCAACCTGTAATTTCGTACGTTTTAATCCAACGAGAAGACGTAGTTCGATTTTTTCTTCTTCCTTTGCTGCCAAACTGCTTTTTCTTTAATAGCAAAACAATCATCCTCTACTTAGTTATTAATCTCGATTCTTAACCTCTTACGTATTTAAGATGGGCTATTTGACAGGATCCTAAAATAACTGAATAACCCAATTCACATGCGACCATCGTCAAGGTACGTTAGAACGCCAAGACCAGGATGGAAGCTTCTCGGCCGAAGTCGAGTGCGCGGTGCTTTTCTCTTTTTATGCCTGTCCCGCCGGCGCCAGAGTCCACCTCTACCTTTTGATGCCGTATTGCTATTCGTGCCGCTAGCAGTGTTGCTGCTACTCCTGACAGTGCTGGTAGCTCTGCCATTGCCGATCCTGCTACCTGTGGTCGCTAAGCGAATACTTGGTGCACTCGTTCATGGTGGGAGTCGTTAGCATGGCGGAGTCTTACCTCGACCAGGGCCACTTTTCTTTTCCTCGGCATGCCAACCCAGTACCTCCTCAAGTGCACTCCTGTGTCCTTCCTCCATGCACTGTTCAGGAGTAGATGACCTGGTACCCAGGGGATTAGAATCTATGGACTATCCTGAACTATGATACTCTGTTTCTATGTAGAGAAATAAGGGATTGAATTTTGGATCCCTTTTTTGAACTCATCTGAATCGTTGAAAAAGTTCAGGCTGATGTTTGACCGTCTGGAAATTGATCCTGGGAAAAGGGCATGAGAAAGCTTTAAATATGTTGACGTCATGAGGACTCTTTCTGGATAAAATTTCTATAGAACATCACAAAGAGGACTGCCTCGTTGCTATCTTGTTACCCAGCAATGTTAAGGCGAATATCAGCCCTGGAAATTCTCTGGTTGAAGTCTGCTGTCTCGTTAGAGAGCGCCTACTGCAAAGCTTGCCACGGTCAACAACTTCCTTTTTCTACTTGAATGGATCCTGCTGAATCCCATGGACACTTAGTAACAAGCAATTTCTTGTTGATACGCAGCAATGACTCCATAATGAGTTTCTTTTGAAGAACCCTGCGAACCAGTATATTTATATTTATTAATTAAATTCATTATTTATCCTCTAAATTCTATATTTATTCAAGACTTAATTCGTAAACACCAGACATGCTTATACGTAAATTGGAATGATCTCAGGATGACAGTAGAACCCAAGCTATTTGCGATTGTCACATTAATTATGCAACAATACATTAATGCAATTACTAGTTCAATAGTCTATCGAGTGTAGCGATCCAACTGTGCCAGAGACAGAACCCATAGAGAAATAGGAAGCAACTGAAAATTGTGCAAGAATACATAATCCGATACTTATTAATAACATAACGGCGTATATAAATAATTTCAAAAGAAATGTACAAAATAGATTAAAACGTTTTCTTAAGAATTACCCAAGCAGGAAGATTCCAATGTCCAATAAGCGGGCAAGAGCTCAAAAAAGAACAGAAACACGTAAATCGAAAGATACATTGAATGACTGTGAAAAAAAAAATCATAGCGAGGGCAGAAAACGATTTTCAAAAAACCACATTATCAATTCTGCTCAGGAAGCAAAAGATACTACTGAACTGTTTGAACCATCCAATGGAGAACAGGTTGAACGTTTATCGCACGGTCGGTAATGTCGATCGGTAGGTAATTGGGCAATTAAAGGTTGAAAGATGTCGGGACTCGCGAAGCCGGTTGAGTCAGCAGGGTTGATCGTTATAAATAGCTCGCGCTCTTATTCTCCCGCAGTAACCACTTGGCTGGTACCAGGAATACCAAAGTAGGTAGGTACTTGATACCATATCGGGGATGTTATGTATTGCAGGTAAAGATATACTTATGTATACAGGTATACTCACTGATCCGGTCTTTCTCAAACGTGTAAGACGGTTAACCTGCAAAGCATGGAGGAGAGACCAGTATCGGTGTAAACGCACTTATCCCAAGAGACGCCCATCGGTCGACGCCGCTTCACTGGTTCCAAGATATCGGCGCCGACTTCAATTCTCATCCTATATATTTCCTCTAGATCACCGTGCACCTTTCTCCAGACCCGTCCTATCGGCATTCTCGCGGACGCCGAGCGTCTACCTCGGACGACGCGAAAAACGGTAAATCCGCACGCGTCCCGCCACTCGACAATTCTCATAGAGCGATTCGCTGGAATTGTATACGTTACTTCGAAGTTTTATAATTAACCGTTTTATCGACTCGTTTCAATCTCGTTGGCTACACTGAAGATGGGAATACCGTTTCTTTATAGAACGAGCACAGAGGACCTGTCAAAATTTAATGTGAACAATCTAACCTATATTTTCGATTAGATTCTCAAACCCACGGAGCGTCTATGTCTTGCGAGTTTCGACGTGTTCGTTAACGTTCGTTCGCGTCACTGTTTTCGGAATTGTCCTCCGGGTTATATATTCAAGAACTGGATCGCACGAATGATTAATAGATCCCGGAACATCGATGAATGAATGTGGCGTCCCGAGGTCAGGATATCTTTTTTACCATTCGACGTTGTTTTCTTCGGTCTCTAGTTTTTGCTCGTCAGGCTCCCTCTTGCCGCGTTCCCGTCAAGCCTTCGGTACGTCGCGCCGCCCGTGTTGAATTATGGAGTTATACATGGAGGAGGCCGACGATCCGTACGTCCTTGCCGATCGAATTCTTCTACTTCCCTACCATCGCGTATGTACATATTTCTCTCTTTATACCTACGTTGTCTTCTCCAAAGGTATCAGCCTCCGATTCTTTGACCTTTTCGCACGTCCATTCTTTCTAACCTTCTGCCACGCGTCTGCTTTGCGAGATCTTTGTTACCTCGAGAAAGAGAGAGAGACCTTTAAATCTTTATCCGTAATTCGCATCCTCAATCGCCCCATAGCGACACGTGACGAAATCACAACGTGTCTTACATCACGTCCAACTGTGTTGTTTACAGGTGTCACACGGCGAAAGTTGTTCTCGAATTATTCAGCCATTTAAAAGTTCCGCGCATGCGCAAACGACTTGACGCACGAGTTGACAGAGGGAGAGTATCGACCGCTTAGGGTACATTATTATCATTTTCTTTTATTTTAATCACCGATAATAATTTTAATTAATTAACAATCAGTATCCTCGAAATTCCAAGGACACTGAATTTTTCTACATTAGTCACACTGTCGTTCGGTGAAAGTCGGAAGGACTACAGGTTGCTGTATCTTATTTACCTGCTTGGCTAACACTCGAGAAGGTTCTTGTTAACGGTAATTAACATGGAATTGCGTTAAATCGACCTCGACCTTTCACTAAGGTTCCTAGCCAAAGTCACGCTCGGGTACAGAACCAGTCCCAGCATCCGCTGACATCTCTTAGATATTCAACATGTATTTCTGATTACTGTACTCTCTGAGAATAGTCATGATATTCACAACGGTAATTCGTTTATTGATAAAGTCAAACAATATGGCGGAATATATATATATATTTCTCACAGAGCGACTTGGTAGTAGGTATGACGGAAAGTTTTGATGATTCCGTGTTTTTTTCCACTCTGCGTTAACCTGTACCTCCTTCTCCTACCCTACGCCCTTTCCCTCTCTCTCTCCCTCTCAGCACCTTTCTTCTTGCGCTTTACTTTCTAGTTCAACGACTGACTACAGTAGTCCTCTCGAATCACGATCCGAGTTCGTTATAACCGTCCATCTTCTGGTATAAATAACCAGTATCATTAGTGAGTCACAATGTACTAACCCACAAAGTAAATTTCTTGACAAATAATTATTTTTAATACAAAATCACATTTTATATACATAGACTTGACAATAGGACGCCTACGACTTTATTTGCAATCATATTATATTTTGATACCTTGATGATGTATAATTAATCTCTTTTTCTTCTCCTCTCACTCAGGCCTACATCTCCTGCGCCCTCGGAGTTCACAAGGTCGGCTACGTGATGATCTGCTTCGGCGTGGTGAACGCCGGATGTTCACTGCTCTTCGGGTCGGTCATGAAGTTCGTGGGCAGGCAGCCCCTGATGGCACTGGGTGCCGTTGTTCACGCAGCCCTGATAGGCGTCCTTCTCGTCTGGAGGCCACATCCTGACAATCCATACATCTTCTACACGATCTCAGGACTCTGGGGCGTCGGCGATGCCGTCTGGCAGACTCAGGTTAACGGTAAGTCTCGTCTCCATCCTGCACAAGCAGGTGTCAAGCCTTGGTAGCCTAAAGCGTTACCCAGTTTGGAATGGAGACTGACTCTCTTTTTTTTCTCTTCTTTTTATTACCATCTACGTCGTCCACTTGGACCTGATCAGTTATGTCTTAATTGATCTGACGGAATCTGTACCTCGTTTAGAAATAACGTCAAACTTCTTATACTGTATTTTTCGTAGGTTACAAATAAGCCCGAGTCACGCTGGACCACTTTGTCGCTGCTTTGAATAATTCAGATTCCACGGACACCGCTAGTCACGGCTATCCTTCGATTTGCAATTATGATAATTACAACAGCTTCGATGTGGATTGTCATGTGTGGCAACACCTTTTTCTTTCTTGGCGCTGTACTGAGCGTGACCTTGATCTCCAAAGTTAATGCCAAATTTTCCATCGCCGAAGTCTACCTCAGGTGGCCTGGCCCCACCTATGTCACGTATTAACGACAAATACCGAGTTGACAGTCGCTTCATGGTCAGTCATTTTTCTACTGGCAAAACATTCATAGCGAAAATATGGAGCTCTGTCAACGAGGAAGATTTTCTATTTGGATGATAAATATTATTCATACGTGTCTTTGGGAGCAGGAGAGGAAAAGCCCAAAAATTTCGACCGATGACAACAAATGGGATCGTGTCATTTTTTTTTTATTGATTTTAATAATATTGATCTATCGACCCGGGTACTCTCCCTGGAGCTATTCTTAAGATTTATACGGTCTTACCTCTATGTAAATTTATCGCTCCGAGCGACCAATCAGACACGAGTCTAATCTAGCATATCAACCGCTTGCGGATACAGACGTATAAATATTTATGGTTCCTCGCTTCGTATATGGAAGTTACGAGTGTCAATACTCCATGCGTGAGAATATCTTTGGGAATTTTGTGTTTAATTCCTTTTGCCGTGGATCCTTGTACTTTTTGTTTCTTTGCGTTAACGTCTTCTTGTTTTATTATTCCTTTTATCTCAACGAGTCACGAGATCACGTCGTGACACCGTAGACATAGAAACTCCACCAATGGCACCGTAGTGCCAACTTAAAAGAACGTTGATCTCGCGTCAATGGAATCTCAATTGTTAATATTAAGATGTAAATTCATCCTAGAGCAAGTCGAGTACTACATGTTAATGACTGTCGAGTGTTTTTGAAATGTTGAAAAATGCGGAAGAGGCAGGCTGGTTGTTGAAGGAAAAAAAAAAGAAGACGAAATCATTAAGAAAATAATCGTTATAACCACCAAGGATAATAAATATCTCGGAGAAAATTAATATTGATCGTTATGAAATCATCGCTGTGATCACAAATGTTTGTGTAATTCGTATCTGTATAACGTTCTCCATTATATAGTACTAAAGTCATTTGCACTAAGCACGCAGCATATGAATATGCTCAGTTTAAAAAATTTTATTGGCTTACAACTGTGCCGAGAATTATTATCTATTTATAAGCAGTTCTTTTGTTCTGTAATTTTTTTTTTTCTTTCATTCCTAGAATTATTATCTATCGTACGTAAGCATGTCCAGTCACCCGGTTTACTACGTACTCCGATCCAGGTATATACCGAAGAAGTGCGTTTTCTGTATTCACTCTGTATATAATGAGGAATTACATCGGCGAATAGGCGACAGACTGACCGTCTGACATTTAGAAAGTCTGACGGCTACGCCAATGCCGTATAATATGTATAGCGTAGATCTAGGAAGTTCATTCCAGACCAGTCCTTATTTTCTATGGCAATTGAATTTCGAACGATTCGCATCTGGATCCCACGACGGTAGATCAGGATCTAGTTAGCCTGCGTCGTCCGGACTTTAAAGCTGTATGATAATATTTAGCAAGCAGCTCGGTTGCGTGTCTTGTGATTTTGGTAGTTTCTGACTTTAAAAAATAATACTGATTACATAGGCGTATTACGATTTTGTTTATCACCGTAAATCATTACGCATATCTGTTTCCTGTTAATCGGATAATCATCGGACAATGTCGGTACAAAAATTATCAGTTGCACATCCCTGGGATTTGGTAGCGATACGATATCCTGGTATTATTGTATACGCGTGTGGCAATGTAAAACGTGCAGATCCCTATCATTATAATGGATGGACATATCCTGAGTGTTCCTAGCGGGAAACAGAAGGCTGCCAGAGATCCTGGCACATCACAATCATTATCGTAATTACCTGCTTTCTGTTTACGTTTAATGAGCGTCGGGTCAAGGATATCATTGACAAAGTAAGAGAGCTCGGTTATGGTACGTCGATAACGTTGTACAGGTTCCCTGCGAGTTTTATATGTTCTCAGCCAGCTTCAAGGCTCGTGACTATAGATGTACACGTAACGTGGTCCAGATTGAAGAGAAAAAAAAAAGGGTTTCCATCCGTCGTTTATGACCTGCCAATAAAATTGTTAATTAATAATGTTACTCGTCAAATTAAAGTCGAGCGAACATAAGTAGCTTACCTCAATTAATATATATTTATATCTTTATCCTTCAGGACTGTACGGGACGCTGTTCAGGCGCAACAAGGAGGCTGCGTTCTCCAACTACAGACTGTGGGAATCAGCTGGATTCGTCGTTGCCTACGCCTACAGTACGCATCTCTGCGCCAGGATGAAGCTCTACGTGATGCTGACCGTACTGATCCTGGGTACGATAGGCTACGTGGTGGTAGAGCTTCTTCACAGGCGCAAACAGAAGAGGCTCAAGGCCATCGCCGAGGATCCCAAGGCCGCTCAGGCTGAGGCTAACAAGCCGGAGGAAACCGACGACGAGAAGGATGATATAGATGATGACATCATCATTACGCACCTCTGAAGAAGTCAAGAGAAAGTCAAGTGACTTTCGTATCGGACTCAATTTGGGTCTTGCGATTTTTAATGCGCTTCTTTCGCCCATTCCTTTCACACTGTCTTTGGTAGTTTGGATACGCGCCTTTATCATTGATCCTCGCGTGCACCCGAAGTCATTTTATTTTAATTCTTCGTCTCGTGTCTCCTTGTGAAATTCACTTTGGGTGCTCGACCTAACCTCAAACCAGGTACTCTCGAACTACCATAGATGAAGCTTTTACGTGAAGCTGCTTGTTATAATACAGAGAGATAGATTTGCGAAAGGAGCTTTCAATATATGTTTTGCGTACTGGTGCGTTAGACACGCACCTATCACACCGAGTCTTTGGGTCTGGTTATACCCACCTTTGTGTGCACGTGTCTTTATGAACGAATTGGTGAATGTTGTGAGTGCTTAAACAGTGGCTGCTGCGCGCAATGTGTGATTACGCGTGTAGTCGTACGCGCGACATGCACGTCGCCATCTACTTACGTTAGCGGTGCTGTGTATCGGGCTAATCGCGTCTATCGACACGCGGCTTAAGAATTCTTTTTTTTTTTTCATCGTCTGCGGCTTTGTAAACTGCACGAAAATTGCTGTGGAACGCATAAGCGAGGTGTACGGCCTTTGAGAATTCGTTGGGAATCGAGAGGAGAAAGAAAAGGATGAAAAAAAAATCGTGCGGATACGCCGTTAGGATTATTCGCAACGATGTTCACTGCCGTTCGAACGATTATTTTGTTTTTGGGAATTTTTTTTTTTTTTTTTTTTTTTTTTTCTCTACAATGCGCTAAACGCGACACTGCACCTTGCTAATCTCAGGAGGCGACGTGCACGTTCGCGAATCTCAAAGCAGTATTCCTTCCGATAATGGCCGACGGTATTGTCGAGGAACGTGCAATATTATTCTCTGTCGACGAATCATATTCCGTCCCTCGGTTGCGGTAGCTCAAAAGTCTCTAACCTAGATAGATAAGTATTATAAAAAAAAAAACAAATCCGCGTATACTTTATTCTCCAGGCCGTGAATGGCCGATTAGAACGGAGCGTCGAGTTTTTTCGTACTTTTGAATTTCCCGCGGCTAAGTCCGAACTAAGCGCTATCCATGGTGAACCAATGAAGAGCTTCCACGTTGCGTAGGCTGTTGGATAGGCTTCTTACGGTCCTATTGGAGTCGCTCTTTTCTTTGGCGGGAATTTTGAAAACCCACGTGAACCCAATATTGTCCTTGGACGTTCATTAATCGGGGTGTGTCCGACCGTGTAATTTTATTCACGTTATTGTCACACGTGCTACTTTTCCTTTCACATTAACAGATTACTCACTGTGTTATATTGTTATCGTTGTTCTTATTATTCTTATCGACAAAATAGATTGCGAAAGCTAAAGTAACAATTCGATTCGGTCAAGAAATTCCCCGATTCTGGACAAACGCGAATCCATCCTCACAGCTTAAATACTCGTGTCAAATATATACAGTGGTCATTAACGAAAAAAAAAAAAAAAAAAAAAACA